GCCGCAGGTAAGGGCGGGGCCGCAGGTAAGGTGGCGGGGCCGCAGGTAAGGTGGCGGGGCCGCGAGGAAGGGCGGCGGGGCCGCTAGGTAGGGCGGCGGGGCCGCGCGATGGGGCGGCGGGGCCGCGAGGAAGGGCGGCGGGGCCGCTAGGTAGGGCGGCGGGGCCGCTAGGTAGGGCGGCGGGGCCGCGCGATGGGGCGGCGGGGCCGCTAGGTAGGGCGGCGGGGCCGCGCAATGGGGCGGCGAGGCCGCGAGGTAGGGCGGCGGGGCCGCTAGGTAGGGCGGCGGGGCCGCTAGGAGAGAGGCGGCGGGGCCGCGAAGACGGGTGGCGGGGCCGCAGTGAAGGGCCGCTAGGGCGGCTCGACGAAGTGAGGGCCCGGAGCGCGACTCGGGCTGAGCGCGCTTCGGGCAGGAAAAAATCGATGTGGTGGGCCCTAAGCACAGTTCCCAAGGGGGAACCTGCTCGATACCATGAGAAGATTTAAACAAGAATGAATGAACTATGAAATGAAGTGAGTACAAATATGAAACCCTAATTGGTTGTACCCCCTATGGGATACCCCACTATAGCCTACACAACAGCATAAGCTATAATGTTCTGACACAAGGCAGTACACTGATCACAACCTAGTAAGAGAAAACATGCAGGTATAAGATATATAGCAGTGTACAACAAGAGCAAGTCAAGCAACCAGCAGGTGAGGCAGAGTGGGCACAAGCCCAAGAGCAGTGCAGAAACGGTGATGATCACCAGACCCAAGGGCCTTGGTGAAGACATCAGCAGTGTCGGCCCGAGAGGCCACGAAAGCAAGGCGCAGCTGACCACGCTGCTCCAGCTCACGTGCAAGAAAGTAGCGAAGAGCAAAGTGCTTCGTTCGGTGCTCCAGTCTCTGCTCGCGACACAAGGCAAGCATTGCCTTGTTGCCGACGTACAGAACTGGAGGAGAACGAGGCCGCTCCCCCAAGTCGGTCAGCAGGTAGGTCAGCCAGCGTAGCTCCTGTGCAGCCATGGCCCCAGCGTAGATCTCGGCCTCACAGCTGGAACCAAGCACAGAAGAAGAACGAGTGGACCTCCACGAGACAGAACCAGAGCCAAGACTGAAGGTGTAACCCTGTGACGAACGCTGAGTCGTCTGGTCGTCGGCCCAAGAAGCGTCAGAGTGTCCTGTGAGGACCACCAAACCCCGTCCTCCAAGCACGAGCCCCATGCCCGATGTGCTGCACAAGTAACGCAATACCCTCTTCGCAGCATCAAAGTGCACCTTTCGGTGTCTACCAGGTGCCACGTAGCGAGCCAGGAGGCTGAGAGGGTACGCGAGGTCAGGTCGTGTGCACGTCATCAGGTACATGAGGCAACCCACAAGCTCTGGGTACGGACCACTCGGCTCTACGGACTCGTCCGAAGGTGGAGCTGAGAGCGAGTGGCCGGTAGACAGAGGAGTGGGCTGTGGCGAGGACCACGTGAAGCGGAAGCGCTGAAGGACCTGCTGCACCATGTGTGACTGAGTCAGGGTGATGGTGCGCCGTGCTCTGTCCCGGGTGATCTGCAAGCCAAGATAGCTCCGCAGCTCACCCAGGTCAGTGCAGGTGTGTCTCTCCTGCAGCTCCGCCTTCACTAGGGCCAGTGCCTCAGTGTCAGCAGTAGCAAAAACCAAATCGTCTACGTACGCGAGGATGTAGAACGGCGGCAGAGTAGTGTCGGTGCGTAGAAACAGCGATGGGTCAGCAGTCGAAGGAGCAAACCCAAGAGCCGCAAGTGTCGTCATCAGTGTGTCGTGCCACTCACGGGGCGCCTGACGCAGGCCGTACACTGGTCGCCGTAGGCTCCACTGGGTACCCTCAGGAAACGACCCAGTGAAGCTTTGTGGACGGCTCAACCAGATGGCCTCGTGAAGGCTACCCTGCAAGAAAGCTGTCGAGAAGTCGAGGGAGTGCAGCTCGTAGTCACGCTGAGCTGCAACGTGTAGCAACACCCGAAGAGTGGTCATCTTCGGGGTGGGGGAGAAGGTCTGAAAGAAGTTGACCCCCTCACGCTGACTGAAGCCTCGAGCAACGTGACGTGCCTTGAAGGCAGGCGGAGAACCCGGCGGCCGCTTCACCCTGAAAATCCACATGCCACTGACGATGTTCGCCCCAGGTGGGGGAACCTCGTCGACGTAGGTGCCTGTGGACTTCCAGGAAGCCATCTCTGCGTCCATGGCTGTCTGCCACTGAGAGGAGTACTCACCCGAAATCGCCTCCCTGTAGGAGCGCGAGGTGGGGATGTCAAGTGCATCCGGGTCTCCCTCAGGGGCAAGCAGCATGGTCGCGGTTCCTACTCTGATACCATGTTAAGAATAGAACTAGGAATGAGTGAGTGAACTAGACAAGAGGTGAGTACAAGTAGGGGAAACCTAACCCTAAAGTGTTGTACTCACTAAGGAGTGATCCTATTGTAATTTGACAAACAATTCCCGCCGCGACTTTGAAGGACCCCGTTTTTTCTATTACCACGCACCGGAAAGTTTTAAAGTTTATATATATAGCTCGTACAAAAACGGTTCAAATCATATTTTTTATAGCATGATTGCGAACTAACAAAATGATTCAAAAAAACACAATCCGCGAAAGGACCTCGGGGCTCTTACTTTTTGTAATTACTTCAACGTTGGCCATCTTTTGTTTTGCATGTGGGAAAGATACACCTCTTTAGAATTACATGTTTCATTTTTTTAAAAGAACCATAAACGCCTTGTCGCAAGGATTTTAGGGTTGATGCTCCCAAATTCATTTGCCATCTGAAAGAGGTATAGATTTGTTTGCCCCGGCTGCACAATAGAATCAAGTAAAAACAATTTGCGGAAAGAGCGCCAGAATATCAGTTGTGTATACAACTTTGTTTATACAACACTTACGTTTTTTTATATAGCTTGAAAATCGGAAAGTGTGTCAGGATTTCGGGAAGTGTGTCAGAATTTCGGAAAACTGTGTCAGAATCTCGGAGGTTTCTGCTTCAAGATTCGTCAATTTAGTCTGACGCGAGCGGGAAAAACCAGAATCAGGGTCATTTTGGGAGAGGGTTTCTTCTAGTTACCATTCGCGTGATGGGTTGCTAGTGTATAGTTACCATACGCGTTAAGCGAGTTACCAAACGTGATAAGCGAGTTACCAAACGTTTTAAGCGAGTTACCAAATGCGTTGAAATCGTTATCGTACGCGTTATAGTTTCCCATGTAAGTTACCATTGACATATTTCCCCTTGTTGCACAGCATCTGGTGCTTTCCACGTCAGCAAAATGTATCCTGGTGACTACTTTGGGCATTTATCTTAGCGGTAACACTCATGGAGCTCAATCGCTGCTGAGGTAAGCCACGTGTCGAAATCGTAACAAACGTAACTTGTGATTGCCTGAGTGGTAACCAACATGCCTAACTGGTCAACAGTATTGCCTGAATGGTAATGAACAGTGCATTCCGAACTCCAAACTGGTAACTGATCATTTCGACCCTATTGTACACCGTACGTACACACTGTGACTCGGCAAAAAGGCAATCGAGAAGAATATATGCTGCGCATTGTAATAATTTTACGTGTATAACTTGAAGAATATGTATATATTAGTAAAGAAGTATTTTTTTCACGAATATATTTATAGAAAATACGGTAAAATGCACGTATTGACATGTTTTATACCACTCCGCATTTGATACAGTTGGCCAAACACTACAATTATATAACTGATTCGATTATCCAATGGGATGCTATAACGTCGAGATATATTAATTTAGTATCAGTAGTATTAACCATTTATAGACATCATAATCAGAAGCTTTTTTTGGGTTCATAAACTCTAGAGGAACAATAATCTATTGCAAAAATGTTAATAGCCTATATTATTTCTATTTCAACCTTACACCTTCAAGTTATACACGTGAAATTTTTACAGTGCGAAACACATATTCTTCTCGATTACCTTTTTGCCGAGTCACAGTGTGTACGTACGGTGTACAATGCGGTCGAAATGATCAGTTACCAGTTTGGAGTTCGGAATGCACTGTTCATTACCATTCAGGCAATAATGTTGACCAGGTAGGCATGTTGGTTACCACTCAGGCAATCACAAGAAACGTTTGTTACGATTTCGACACGTGGCTTACCTCAGTGGCGATCGAGCTCCATGAGTGTTACCGCTAAGATAAATGCCCGGCCACTTTTCAGGGAATTTTCAACCAACCACCTTTCCTCGACGCATTTTGCCGAAACAGAAACCACCCACTTGGGAAACAGTAAACACTGCAAACGGCAATAGCACTTGGCAATCAGCCCGATATCGTGGGGGTAATTTGAGTGTCTACCTCTGGTTGCTGACCAACATTCCGTCCAGCTTGTGATCCAACCCAACACATTATAACAATTACGGTGAAACGTATTTTTAGAGGCTGTCAGTTCTTTGGCTACGTTCTGAATCTAACCTTCAGCTTACCCAAAAGGTTTTGAATCCTTGGAACATCCCACCCTATCCATTCGCCGTAATTCGAGGAAGCAAAGGCCATGACAGACAGGTCCTTCGTGGCAATATTCGACTGGGCGTTTTACGCTTCGGTTTCCCCCCTCATTTGGCCGTTGGCTGATTGGTGACCGCTGTTGATTGAAGCAGGGTGCGCCTGGGGATTCACGATTCATGACGAACCTGGCCTTGATCAGCGGAGGTGTACCCAAGGACACGCCGCCTCGCTGTTCAGAACAGAATATGAAACCTAAGTCAGAACAGAACAGACTGCCGTTGATCATACCAACCAGACATAGCAGCCCAGGTTTCATCATAGGTCTTCTCCACCACCTTTCCTAGGAATCTCCTCGGTTCTATCCACCTTGATTTTCTAGCTCCTCTGAATCACCTCGAATTCATCAACTCCGGACGGGTGTGACAGAAACCAGTTCGCTGTAGGTAGTAGTATTTAGAAGGCAAGTTTGTCATTCCCTTGAACTTAGCTTCGGCTACAGCTATCACTGGGATTGCATGTGGAAAGTAGGAGAGACCGTTGCTGTAGGGGTAGGCGGAGGCTCGGCTCTGCTGTCAAACGTCGCTCCGGACGCGTCCAGAGGCGCTAAGAGTGAGTTCCTGTAACCACGTCTTGCTTTCGCACCGAAGCAATAAACGATTTTCGCGAAGTGACTTACGTGACGCGTTATGGCTGTGACCTCACAATAGCACTTGGCCTATTCGGCTCGTGACGTGTTATGTTTGCGTGGATGTGCGTCGCGCCGAGTTTAATTTTCGCGTTCGTCAGTTCGGGCTTTCTAATCGGCCTCCGTCGTCCTTCTCCACAGCAATGCCGTTTAACTCAGTTTCCGCTGTCTGCGACTTCAAACTCCCGTCCTTCGCCATGGCGACAGAAATATCTGCCGGAGCGAGGTCAACCAGCCCGACATCCACGTCACTTAGGCGAAGGCCGCAGCACCATAAGCGACATTCCCAGTCAAGCTCCTCGTCTGCCGCCGCTTTGTTCCGTACCGGGCAAACCCCGGCCGGCGATTGGCGAGGAGCGGCAACCAGCACAACAAAGTGGCGTTGTCGGGTACGGCAAGTTTGTACCTTCTAGATTCATCCTTCGCTGTAGCGAGCCGACTAATGTGCAGCTGTCGCATATAGGACCCGACTAGTGACCTCAAGTAGCCTCCTTCCCCGGTACGTTCTAGAGTCTACTTGAAGTCATCATAATACGTCCAGAACTCTAGAACGTTTCGCCGTGCTCTTTAAGAAGAACTATATCAAGCTGTACTGATTCTCTTGTGTTGCATTCGGCTCTGCGCAGGCCGCCGTTCCGCACCAAGCCGCTGGTTCCAGAAACCGAGGTATGCCATGCTCTTTTTCCTTTCTCGGTGTGAGATTAACCGTTGAGGAGTGAACACATCTTTTTTTCCTTGTTACGCGTTCATTCTTACAACGTCCCGTACGGATTCTTCCCCCGTTTTGGTCGTATTGCGCGTTTGGCGTCCGTTGATGTCGTTTCTTCCCATTTTTCCAGGTTCAGCTGAGGATGAGTCGGACATAGACGGGCTTGCAGAAGAGAGCGCGGTGCTGCGAATCACGAACCACCACGTGGATATGGACCTGTCAGCAGATGACACAGCATCTGGCGACAGCGTGCGAGCAGTCGCATGGTCCGACGATAGCAGGTTACTCGTAGTCGAAGCAGACGATGGGAGCGAGATCAAAAGCAACGGTAGAGGGGGTGAACGTGCTGTGAACGGCAATGCCCTAGGGAGAGATAGTGGACGGCATAAAATAGTGGCGAAGGAAGAGGAGGGAATGGGGGAAGGAGAGGAGGAGCTAGGGGTGGCTAGCGAACTCCCTATACCGATATTATCTTCCGCAGAAGAACCCAACCGGCCGTACGAGTTCAAGATCCTCAAGGTGAGGCTTGTTTCCGAACAGAGCACTAATCCCGTGTGTTGTCGCTTGTTTTTTTTGCATTTCTCGTGTTGTGGCTTTGTCGTCCTGATTGCTGATTGCTGATTGCTGATTGCTTTATTCTGATTGCTGCATTTGCACCCTGTTGTCCTCATGTCTTCCTCATGCGCCTATCCTCATACAACTGTGGTCTGTACCCCTGAATCTGTGCGACTGTCTGTGCAGGAGGAGCTGAAGTTCTCACGCTACCTGAATGTCTTCAACCGGGTGGTCGAGGTAAGCTCTTTGCTCACGTGCGTGGCACTTCCTCTGTCAGCCGTCTGTCTCGCGTTGCACGCTGCAGTGTGTTTGTTGGTAATGAAGCAAAAAACTTTTATTGTCAAGATGGAAATGAGTTTGTGAGTTCTGCTACTAGCGTGTGAAATCATGCAGCAGAAAGTTGGGAATACCAGCCAACCCACCAGTCATCCACGTTGGCATTGCCTTTGACACACCAGTGACATTCCTGCACTGGTTGACTTGATTGACGCAATGTGAGGCTCATACTACACTGTGCTCAATCTCAGACTTCTTCCCATACCTCATCCAACGCCTCGTCCCACACTCATTCTGAGTCGCATCCCGTGCCTCACCCCGTACCTCATCCCATGCCTCATCCCATGCCTCATCCCGTGCCTCACCCCGTACCTCATCCCATGCCTCATCCCATGCCTCATCCCGTGCCTCATCCTGTGTTCCCATACCTCATCCCATGTCACATCCCGTGCATCATCCCATGCCTCATTCGAGGGCTTATCACGTGCCTTATCCTGTGCCTCATCACGTGCCTCATCCATTGCCTCATCTCGCACCACCCCACAACTCATATCATGCCTCGATTCATGCTCTTCCTCATCCCCCTGCCGTCCGGTCCTCTCCCCATACTCATTCCCTCTCCCTATCATCTATCTCTCCTCTCCCTTTCCTCTCCCTCTCCTTTCTCTGTCCTCTTCACCTCCTCTCTCCCCCTCTTCCTCCTCTCCCGTTTTTCTTCCCCTCCTCTATCCTCCCCCCTCTTCCTATCCCCCTCATCTCTCCCTCCCCTCCCCCTCGCAGCATCCCCCCCAGCCTCTCCCCAACGGCCAAACACTCCCAGCCAGCATGACCCGACCAGCATCGGACGAGCACCCGGTCGGCGGCGATTGTCTGCTAGCGGAGGAGTTCGGGGTGACAGAGGAGCGACCGGCAAACAGCAGCGGGCACTCGGGCGGGTGGATAGGGTACGGGCTGGAGCTGGGGCAGGTGCAGGGCGGGCAGGGGGAGCAGCGCGTGGAGCTGTGGCCGCAGCAGGTGGTGGAATATGATGTGGTGGCAGCTAAGACCAAGTCGTGCCACTTCGTGTGCGTGCTGCCCTTCCATTCAAAGACCCAGACGGTTACTCTATTAAAGGAGTACGCACAGGTACGTGATGAAAGCCTCGCGGGTAGAACAATCAGGTAGCAAACATAGCAGGTAGCAAACAAAGCAGTAGCAAACAAAGCAGGTAGCAAACAAAGCGGGTAGCAAACAAAGCAAGTAGCAAACAAAGCAGGTAGCAAACAAAGCGGGTAGCAAACAAAGCGGGTAGCAAACAAAGCGGGTAGCAAACAAAGCAGGTAGCAAACAAAGCAGGTAGCAAACAAAGCAGGTAGCAAACAAAGCAGGTAGCAAACAAAGCAGGTAACAAACAAAGCAGGTAGCAAACAAAGCAGGTAACAAACAAAGCAGGTAGCAAACAAAGCAGGTAGCAAACAAAGCAGGTAGCAAACAAAGCAGGTAGCAAACGAAGCAGGTAGCAAACAAAGCAGGTAGCAAACAAATCAGGTAGCAAACAAAGCAGGTAGCAAACAAATAAGTTAGCAAACAAATCAGGTAGCAAGCAAATCAGGTAGCAAGCAAATCAGGTGGCAAACAAATCAGGTAGCAAACAAAGCAGGTAGCAAACAAAGCAGGTAGCAAACAAATCAGGTAGCAAACAAATCAAATAGCAAAAAAATCCGGTAGCAAACAAATCAGGTAGCAAACAAATCAGGTAGCAAACAAAGCAGGTAGCAAACAAATCAGGTAGCAAACAAATCAGGTAGCAAACAAATCAGGTAGCAAACAAATCAGGTAGCAAACAAATCCGGTAGCAAACAAAGCAGGTAGCAAACAAAGCAGGTAGCAAACAAATCAGGTAGCAAACAAAGCAGGTAGCAAACAAATCAGGTAGCAAACAAATCAGGTAGCAAACAAAGCAGGTAGCAAACAAAGCAGGGAGCAAACAAAGCAGGTAGCAAACAAATCAGGTAGCAAACAAATCAGGTAGCAAACAAATCAGGTAGCAAACAAATCAGGTAGCAAACAAATCAGGTAGCAAACAAATCAGGTAGCAAACAAATCAGGTAGCAAACAAAGCAGGTAGCAAACAAATCAGGTAGCAAACAAATCACGTAGCAGGAAATGATGCAGCAGGAAGATGAGACAGCGCGTATCACTGCTTGCTGGTCTTCACATTGGTGGATGGGTGGTGGTGATGTTCGCTCTGGCCCTGGATGACGGGGATGGGGAAGTAGCGTGCTGGAGAAGAAGGTTTTGCAATGTTTTGAGGCATCTCTTGAAGTGTGCCTGCCCCGCTCCTCCCTCACGCACTTTGCCTCGCCTTCCTCTCCTGCCTCCCTCCCCATCCCGCTCCCCCTCTCTTCCTCCCTCTGCCACACCCTGCGTGGCCCGCAGGGAGCGAACGCGCTGGTTTACACGATGCCATGTGGCGGATACGCTGACAATCGCACATCCCTGGAGAGCTGCGCACATGATTTCAGACGTCCCGAGTATAAACACCTCTCCCTTCTCCTTCTGCCTCAATCTGCCTCCCTTTCACCTCTCCCTCTGCCGCCCTCTGCCTCACGTGTGCAGGGAGCAAACGCGCTGGTGTACACGGTGCCGTGTGGCGGCTACACGGACAACCACACGTCCCTGGTTGCACATGTTTCGAGATGCCTCACAACTTACTACTTGTCCCTCCGACATCCTCTCCCTCCGCCTCACCTGTGCAGGGAGCGAACGCGCTGGTGTACACGGTGCCATGTGGGGGCTACACAGACAACCACACGTCCCTGGAAGACTGCGCCCGCAGAGAGCTGTCTGAAGAGGTGAGACGCGTGATGTGGGACAAGATGAGAGGTGCTTGCGGATTGAAGAGAGCTGCGAAGGGTGATGGTGTACACGACGGTGCCCCGTGTGGTGGTTACACGGACAACCACACGTCCCTGGAGGACTGTGCTCGTAGAGAGCTGTCTGTCTGAAGAGGTGAGACGCGTGATGGTGCGAGCGACGAGAGACGTGTGCAGAGTGAAGAGAGGTGCACAGGACGAAAATAGCGGAGTGGATGTGAAGCAAACAGAGGTGCCAGGGGTGCCGGCGCAGCCGAGCCAGACAACATGGACAATATCAGGTGGATTGTGAGAGATCACAGCGGAAGCGGTGTGATTGGTACTGCAAGCAGGGTCACCTCAGCTGTTTCCCATTAGCGGACAGCAGAAGCGGTGTGTGGCCGTTGCTATACGCACCCCCTCTTTCTTGATACCTCCCTTCTTCTCATCACCTCTCTTCCCACACCTGTCCACCCCTGCACGCACCAGGCGAGGCTGTGTGGAGGGCAGCTCATCAAGCTCGTGGGAGACGACCACCCTGGCCTGCTCGAGGTGAGACGTCCCACCCTGCCATGCTGGCGCGCTCTTGCCTCCCCTGCCCGAGGGGGGGCACCGTGCATCTAGCTGCCCCTGTTCCCGCCAGGCGAGGCTGTGTGGGGGCCAGCTCATCAAGCTCGTGGGGGACGACCACCCAGGCCTGCTCGAGGTGAGTCTTCCCGGCTTTCCACGCTGATCCGTTTCTTCCTGCTCCGACCGGTATGAGCTCCTTGCCCGTTCAGCCATACACAGGCGTGATGACATGACCTTGAAGGTGAGTGAGCCTGTGTCTCTTGTCATGTCACTACTGCCTACCAGGTCTAGTGTTCTGTCGAGCTCTTTTCCAGAATATACATGAAGTTGAGACGAGTCTGCTGGATCTCCCTGCCTTGCTGCGTGGGAGGACAAGCGGTGATCTGTAACCCCTTGAAATAAGCTCGGATTTATACCCGTTGCATCTCCCTCCCTTGCTGCGTGGCAGGTCAAGTGGTGCAAGAACCGCTTCACTCCCTTCCTTGTCATCGACCCTCAGGTCAGTCAGCGTCCCGCCCTCTGCCCCTCACATCAGCCATCCCCTGTTTTTATGCCCCCCATGCTGCTTTTCCCCCGTGCTCCATGCTCGGGTGTGAAGTGCCTGCACTGCACTGCTCCCTTGCCTGGCAGCTTGGGACGCTGCAGGGAATGAGTCTAGAGGTGGCCCGTGTGCCGGTGAAAGACCTGCACCCACTCCATCCCTATCTTTCCCTTGTGACTACCCCCCCATTCCCCACTCCACAGGTCGATTCCGACCCTCTTTCGAGGGATCTAGAAGAGTTAATAGAGGTGGACCGCGTGCCAGTGGGGGACTTGCAGCCACTCACCATTCCCTTTTGTCTTCCCCCCCATTCCCCACTCACCATTCCCCACCCCTGCAGGACGACTCTGACCCTCTCCCAAGGGATTTAGAGGAGTTCATAGAGGTGCACAGGGTGCCGGTGGGGGACCTGCACCTGCTCTCACCTTATCGCTCCCTTGTTGCTTCCCCCATTCCCCATTCCCCACTCCCATTCCCCACTCTGCAGGACGACTCCGACCCTCTCCCAAGGGATTTAGAGGAGTTCATAGAGGTGCACCGGGTGCCGGTGGGGGACCTGCAGGGCATGGCGCTGAGTGGAGACATGCTGCTGCCCTCGGTAGTCACCTGCACCATGGCTCTTCAGTACCTCAAGGACAACGGCTGGCTTTAACGGGTGTGACTGTAGGGAGTATGGTGTGGTGGGGGTTATCCGCGCCGGCACTGAGTGGAGACATGCTGCTGTGCTCTGTCGTCACCTGCACCATGGCCCCGCAGTACCTCAAAGACCATGACTGGTTGTGAATGTAACGGGTGTCACTGTAACGAGGGTGACTGTAGGGGGGAGACATGCTTCTGGGCCTCTGTTGTCACCTGCACCATGGACCTGCGGTACCTCAAATATCACGGCTGGCTGTGACTGTAACGTGTATGGCCAACGGACGAGTGCGGTGGGAGCTTGCGCTGGGGGCAGAATGCTGCTGCTGAGGGAAAATCGTACGGCTGACCCTGTCTGTAACGGGGTGATGACTAACGGACAGTACCGTATACTGCGTTTGAGAAAGCAAATCCTCGCAGCCACGAGCTGAGTGGCCCAACAGTTACTCTGTACAAGTAATGTTGCTGTGGATGGGGAGAGGGGGGGGAGGGGTGGCTGCTCATGCGCATGGCCTCCCATGTGCTGTGTTGCTGATGCACAGCAGCAAGTTAATAAACCAGCTAATTATCTTCTATTTGTGATGTTTGCTACGTTATCTCATCAGAGTTCTCCCACACACCTGTCTGTACGTTTTGGCAGTGCAGATCCGTGAAAAATACATCATAAATTCCGTTCATTACCACCCTCTCCCTTTTGGTCTGGTTAGACTTGCTGTCTCTGCATCACAATATGTGCTTTTGTCCAACACAAGTAGCTCCGGGGTAGTAGTAGGTATGGAGCAGATGTTTGATGTTGACCGGAAAAGTGCATTTGTCTGTTCACAATTAGACTGCACAATATACGGTACCAGTAGTCTTATCTAGCGTAGCGTAGCTGTTGACTTTCTGTTCAGTGGGCTCTGTTGCACGCTTTTACCACAAAAAAAACCGGCTGCAGAAGTCTTGGTTGGCCCTTGAAAATATCAAAAACAGAATAAACCACAAACGTACAACACTGTCGCAAAAGGCTCAGCACTGCAGGCACACAGAAGTATTGACATGCAAGGAAGGCAGGCAGAATGGTTATACCATGTCCCTCCCTGCTCCTACACGAGCCTTATTCACTCTACACTAGATGCTGAAAGCAGCGTCTGAGAATTTCACCAGAAAGGCCATCATGGGCAGCGAGAAAACTGCCTGAAAGCAGTGATGGTGACCCGCCGATTATCAGAGAATACTGTTGGCTGTGCAGTAGAGCGTAGAGGAGCGGTGGGCAACAGTGAGAAAGAAAACCTGGCGCTTATTCAACAGGAAGTGCCACGTAAGGCATGGGATGGGACAATGGGCGGCGCGGAGAAGGGCGGGTGGCAGGCATGGGCGGAATGGAGCAGCATCTGTTGCGCCCAGAGAGTGACAGCTCGAAGACAAAAGCATGGTGTGCCTTTGAGCCGCCTCAGATGCTGTCCTTCCTGCCTGCAGCGACGTGAAATTGGCCTGCACTCTACAGCGGAGTGACGCTGATCTGCACCTTCATGCCGCCCGGCCCGCAGTGGCTGGGCACGGGGCACGCGAAATAGAGCCCCGTGGCCGCGTCACCTGCCTGGACTGTGTACCTGCAGAGAAGGGAAGCAGGGATGGAGGAGACAGAGGCAACGGAGAGGGAGATTAAGGCGCGGGTGGAGGAGGCAGGTGATGCTTTTGAGTCGACTCAAAAGCAGTGGCGACGGAGAGGGGGGTTAGGGAGAAGGTGAAGAAGGCAGGTGTTGTGAAAGAAAGCAAGTGCACCAACCAAGCAAGTGCTTGCGAGCAGCAGGACGTTGACACAAGAGCAAGTGCAGGAAAGGCCGAGAGCTCGCGGGGTGAGAAGGGGGGGAAAGATGGAGTGAGGAAGGTCGATAGAGCAGGGAAAAAGGGGGGTATCCTGACGTTTCTAAAGAAGCGCAAACGCGGGAGCTTGGAGCTGGCGTTGAGGGCGCCGGTGACCTTGCGACCGGATGGGGGAGGAAGATCTAGGGAGCAGGGCAGAGGAATAGTACCTGGCATAGCCGAAGAAGCGGATAGGAGCCACCTTGGAGCTGCCACTGAAGTCGCAGTTGTCATACGCCGTGCCACTCGCCAGCTTGCGCACGCCGTGCGGCCAGAAGCCCCACTTGAACACTGCGGGCCGTGTGGTGGTGGTGGGTGTGGATGGGTGTGGCGCGGGGGATGTGGAGGGAGGGAGGAAGGGCGGGAAGCGGCGAGGGAGGAGGTGAGTGCAGGGGGAGATAGACTAAAGAGCGGCACAGGCCTGGAGGGGAAGGAGGTGCTGCTGAAGAAGCTCCACCGAGGGCTGTGAGACATGAGAAGGCTTTTGAGGTGCCTCAAAACTGCTTCTCCATAAAAAATGCTGATGGAGCAGCTCCACTCCAACGAGGTCCTTTGAGTCGACTTTAAAGCCCTTTGAGTCGACTTTAAAGCCCTTTGAGTCGACTTTAAAGCCCTTTGAGTCGACTTTAAAGCCCTTTCAGTCCACGCAAAGAGGTCAACGCTCTCAGGCCCCCGCCCACGCCATGCACCACCTTATCAGTTCATCACATGCCCCCGCCCTCTCTCCAAAGCATCTCCCGACCCGCCAGGCGACCCCCCTGCTTGACAGGCGTTGACTGGCGTTGACTTGACTCACCAGCACGTCACCCGGCCTGATGACGGGCTGCCGCCACGACTGGTGGACATAGAAGGACCACGGCAGGGGGCCGTACCCCACCAGCACCGCCTTCGCCTGTGCCGCGGGGAGGGAGGGGAGGAGGGAGAGGAAGTAGAGCGGGGGAAGAAAACAGAGAGAGGGCAGAACACGGTTAGACCGACATAGAAGGACCACTGCAGCGGCCCGTACACCACCATCACCGCCATCGCCTGTTGGGGGGGAGGGAGAGAGGAGGGAGGGGAGGAGGGAGTGGAGGAGGGAGGGGAGGGGCAGGGGGGAGAAAATAGACAAAGGTCAGGCGTCCGTTAGGAGGAGGAGGAAGGCGTCAGCTGACGCAGGCAAGGCGTCAGCTGATGCAGGCAAGGCGTCAGCTGATGCAGGCAAGGCGTCAGCTGATGCAGGCAAGGCGTCAGCTGATGCAGGCAAGGCGTCAGCTGATGCAGGCAAGGCGTCAGCTGATGCAGGCAAGGCGTCAGCTGATGCAGGCAAGGCGTCAGCTGATGCAGGCAAGGCGTCAGCTGATGCAGGCAAGGCGTCAGCTTGCTGCTGCGGCCATTCTCGTCTCCCACACATGGAGAAATGTACATTAGCTTGGAAATCCTTTTGCGGTCCTTATAATTTTTAAAAGGTTCTTGGCAGGCAGGGTGCTTGCCTGGGCTTGGAGCAGGACTGGCGGCACGTCAGCACGCACACGCCACGTGTGCAACATGCAGAGGCCGTGTGGCGAGTTCGTCATGACCACGCAACAGCAGCAGCACGTCGGGTGGCCGCCACGTCACGTGCCACGTCGCATGCGACACATGCCATGTGGGGGCGTTGCAGCGCCGTAGGCGGCAGCAGCGCAGGAAGGGGAATGAATGGTGCCGCGGAAACGTCATGCACGCGGGGTTGGAGGAGGGCGGAAAGAGGGGGGAAAAGGTGGGCAAGTGGAGGGAAGGGAAGGGAAGGGAAGCGGGTGGGAATAGGATGCAACGAGAATCAAGAGACATGCCGCATGTTCCGCGACGGAATGAGAAGAGCGAACATGAAACGTTGAACAGTGAGTGAAATTGACTCGTATATGGTGAGAGTTGGTCGAGCCATGACTCACGTGGCGCGAGAAGCACGAGGGTGCAGAGGAGAATCGCGGGGCGGGCTGACGCCATGGCTGATCGCGACACGGCGCGGTACCTTACAACCAGAATGTTGGTTCTTGGAATGTCTGAGAGGGGTTGAAAAAGGTTTTGATCTTCCAGCCAACGACTATTCGAGTGTCGCGATTTTTGATTGACCTCGAGGTAAGCGCTGCATGCAACGTAAACGAGCAACGAAAATCCCGAAAAGCGCCACAAGGTATGGCACAATGGCTCGAAGCCGCCATTGAAATACACGCAGAGTGACCAGCGGCGCTGCTCGCCCGGCGCTAAATTGAGCTCTGAGCGCGGCGCGGGACGCTGTCCTTCCTTGCGAATGTGGCTCGTCGCTGCTGCAGCGAAATGGACGGCGCCGCACACGGCTCGTAAGGGTGGCTAGCCCCGACCGCGCGCCGTACGGACGACATGGACGGCTTCTGTTGGCTGAAAATGTTTAAAATGCCCGGCGCCGCAAAAGCTACATTTGGAGAGAAAGAAGGCAAAAGACAAGCAGCAATGGCAGTTGTCGGCGAGGCGAGAACTAGGAGAACTAGGAAATCACCAGCCACAGGAGATGTGGTTTCCCTGTTTGGGCAGCAAGCAGCGAGCCGCGTATTATGTGCAGCTTTCAATCCTATTCGCTTTATAGGCAAGGAAGCGTGTTGAAAGCGTGAACATTCCTTGTACATAAAAGTTCAGTAATTAAAGTAAAACCTTTGTTTTGCAATGGACAACGTTGATGTTTACTCTGATTTGTTCAACCCTATCCTAAGCTAATGTAACAAATACAGCTTGAAAATATATTGTACAACAAAAAAGAAGTTGATGATTGAAACAAAGGCTACAAAACGGGCAATTCCCGAGAGAAATGTTGTGCTTTATTCGCATGAAAGTAAAGGGACGAGGATATTTGTCTTCATGCAGATGGTCGCATGGTCGCTCTGGATGGTGTGATGCAGGCAGCTTCAGATGGCACAGGCAGGCAGCTTGGGTTGGGTGGCAGGCAGCTTGGGTTGGGTGGCAGGCAGCTCGGGTGGCAGGCAGCTTGGGTGGCATTCTAGGGCGAGATGGGGATTGCTGTCTTCATGTGGTAGGCGCTGCAGTGAGCGTCCACGCTGCAGGCGAAGAAGAGAGTTGTGCCCGCTGCTGTCCGTGGCACCTTGTACCTGAGCCGGTTGAGAGGGTTCAGACGGGTTTGAGAGGGTTTGAGGCAGGGACATGAGGATAGGCGATGACATGAGGATTTCTGCAGGGGAATATCAACAGTAACGCCCAGGCTGGTGAGAGTTGGTGAAGGGTGGCGAAGGATGGTGAAGGACGGTGACGGGGGGTGATGGGGGGTGAAGTGTGGTGCTGGTGGGTTGTGCAAGGATACTGAAACGGTAAGAGAAGTAGAGGAGGCATAAGCGCACTTGTATTTGTGGGAGGTGTGGACGCGGGTGAGCCTGTGGCCCGTGGCGAAACCACTTTCGAGAATCCTCATAAGTGATTTCAACAGAGATTGGAACGGTGTGTGTGTGCAACAGAAAGGGCAGCAGCGTGGTACTTGTAGCGCTCGGAGATGTGCACGTGCCGTGCTTGAGCCTCTTTCCCGTGGCGAAGGTGACTTTTGAGACGTCTCATACGTGATCTCATTCAACAGAGATTGGAACGGTGTGTGCAGAAAGGGCAGCAGCGTAGTACTTGTAGCGCTCGGAGATGTGCACGTGCTTGAGCCTCTTTCCCGTGGCGAAGGTGCAGTTGGTGTATGCTGCGAAGTCCCTGAGCTGCCACACGTCATGCCTTGCCATGCGCCAGCGGAACACTGATGGGGGGGGGGGGGGGGGGATAGAACAGGAGGGGAGGACGTACGGGGAGGGACAACTGGGGAATGAAGATGAAAAGGGGGAACGATCAGTATGCAAGGGCCTTGAAGCACCACACGCTATGCGCTGCCATGCGCCAGCGGAACACTGCAAGGTGGGGAGTAGGGGCGGAGGAAAGGCGGAAGAGGTGCAAGGAGGGGAGAGGAATAAATCAGCAGAGGGAGACTGGGAGAACGGAGGGAGGTTGGGAGGGTGAGGTGGGGAGGGGAGGATGAAGTGGTGGGAGGGCAAGGATGACAGGGATCACATGAGTGCAGCAACACACGGGGCTTGGTAAGCACATGAGCATGCACACACGGGCTGCCATGGGCTGCCAAGGGCTTAATAAGCTTGTCCCCTGGCCTCACACGGGGAGGCTTCCAGGACTCAACGCCGTACGACCACGGGCTGAACCACCCCCTGCCCACCGTCACTGTCTTGGCCTGTGCACATGGGGATGGGGGGGCGGAAAGAAGGGTGAGGGATATAGAGTGACGGGAGAAATCAGGAAGAAAATCGAGGAGGGAAAAAAGGAGGTGGGCGAAGATTGGCGAGAGGGAGTTCAAGGGATGCACGAAGGAAGACGGACAAGGAGGAGGTAGGAAGGGGAGAGGGTGACGTGTGGCGGATGGCAAGCGTGTGGCGGATGCAAGCGTGTGGCGGATGGCAAGCGTGTGGCGGATGGCAAGCGTGTGGCGGATGGCAAGCGTGTGGCAGGCACATGGCATGGTTGGTGGCAGCAGTGGCGGCTGCAGTGGTGGTGGCAGTGGCCGTACCTGAGTGTCAGCTGCACCTGCAGCCACAGAGGGTCAGAGAGGACAAGAGGGAGGCATCAGAAGAAAGGCAATTGTTAGTAGAGGTAGCAGGGTGGAAAGCGAGGGGAACAAGAGGGAGGGATGGGGGAGGTGAGAGAACGAGGGAGAGCGCGGGGGTGGGAAGGAAGGAAGACAAGGACAGGCTGAAAAGACGAGGGGCAGTGAGGCGCGAAGGGGGAGAGGCGGAAGGACGCGAGCATGAGCAGCGGACCACCTGTCAACGGCTTACTTACAATCACGAAACCTTTTGTTTGAGACGCTCGAGAATCATATATCACGAGACTTGACTCACACAGCAGCACGAGGAGCAGCAGCGCGCACAACAGTTTGAGCCGCGCCATCTCGGCCGCTGTAACGCGCGGGAAGAGACTTCGCCGAAACGCGTGGCGCCGCGAACTATAAGAAGTATGGAAAGCACGCAAATTGGAAAGTCTGAGGCGGGCGTGTGGGAGAGGAAGTCTGGATTGATTCGATTCGAGTCTGCTGCTGCGATTATGGTGGAAACGGTGGTGTTTTAAGCGGAACTTCGGGGAGCTGCGTGCGCCATGGCAGTAGAGCGATTAAATAGCCGCGCCGCGCACGGACGGGCGCACCGACTGCGGCCGCAGGCGTGGCGGGGAGGAACGAACGACGGTGATTGCGCTCCGACGGTCGGAAGTCCGGCGCGTCTGGCGCAAACAGACGCCTCGTCCGCGCCGGCCATGGCGCAATAACTTCCCCTTGCGCAACGCTGCGGATAGCTTCTAAGACGGGCCGCGCCAAAGAAGCGTGGGGGTGAGGCGCTTCCTGTGTCCAATTTCGGTTTGGTAGGGCTTTCTCTGCAAGCCGGATGGCAGGCTCGGATGGCACTGAGCGAGTCGCCATGGAAGGGAAGCATGCCACGTGGCAGGCTGACTCCTCCGTTCTCTTCGACATGCGCTTGCCTGTGCGAAGCGGCAACGGCGACTATCGAAAGCCAATCAGCGCACGGCAAGTCGTGCGGCGCATGTGCGCGGCAGCACGTGCTGTGTATTTGTCATGGCTGCAACACGATATTCCCTAAGCCGCTGTCGAATGGCGGCGAGTCGCGACGAATTGTCCACTTTAGCAACTGTATGCAAAACGGGAAGGTTGTGGCGTCATCACTCACTGATATTTGAAAGATACGAACATAAGTTGGATACTCTACCACACTGAACCACGCTTAAACCTCGGTGAAGAGCCACATCGGATTGAACCCCCTACTGAAACAATTAAGTGGTTTAGTTACAGGATACAAGTTTCACGTGCAAAAGGTGGAGGGAGTCTCTTCACCTACAGGAGGACAGGCACCAGGGTTTCTGCTCCTCCGAAAACAACTGAAGAGACACCTGAGGTGGCATGGCATGGCACACTGCAGTTGACTAGACTGAAGGCACCTGAAGAGGCAGACCAGGGCGAATGCGTTGCAGCGAGATGGCATGGCGGCATTGGGGCTCTAGATGTCACAGTGCGGGCGGCTTCAGACGTCACTCAAGGGAGAGAGAGGCATCTTAGGGATGGCGCTGCTGTGAGGCGGCATGGCGGCGCTGGGATGGCGTGTTGCAGGAGGCTTCAGACGGCACACTGCAGGCGGCTTGAAATCACAAAGCGCAGGCAGTTTCAGATGGCTGGCACATTGCAGGAGGCTTCAGATGCTGCAGAGGAGGCAGCTGCAGACGGCTTGATATCACACTGCAGACTGCATGCGGCTTCAGACGGCAGGCTAGGGCGAGATGGGGATCCTAGTCTTCATGTGGAATGCGCTGCAGTGGGAGGGCACGCTGCAGGAGAAGAAGAGAGTTGTGCCCGCTGCTGTCAGCGGCACCTTGTACCTGAGAGGGTTGCGAACTGGTTGAGAGGGGTGAGCGGGTTGGGAGGGAAGAGAGGGTTGAGGCAGGGACATGAGGATGTGCAATGAGATGAGGATGTTTATGCAGGGAAGGAACAGGGTGATATCAATAGACAGGTTTCGCCGAGGCTGGGAGTCCTACCACAAAAAACGAGACAAACACAAAGCTGGTGGACGCTGGTGAGGGCTGGAGAAGGATGATGAAGGTTGATAAAGGGTGGTGGTGGTGGGTTGCGCAAGAGAAATTGAAGCGTTGTGTGCAGCGGGCAGCAGCGCACTTTAAGCGGTAGGAGGTGCGGACGGGGGTGAGCCTCTTGCCCGTGGCGAAGGTGCAGTTGGTGTAGGCTGCCAGGTCCCTGAGACGCCACACGTCATGCGCTGCCATGCGCCACCGGAACACTGCACAGAGAAGGGGAGGGGAGAACGCGGAGGGGAGGATGGACGGGGGAGGCGGAATCGGTAGAAAGAAGATCGAACGGGGGAAGGAATAGGATGCCAGGTCCTTGAGGCGCCACGTGTCATGCACTGCCATGCGCCAGGGGAACAATGCTCAGTGGGGAGGGAGGGGCGAACGAGGAGGGGAGGAGGAAGAGGCACAAGGAGGGGAGAGCGAAGAGGTAGGCAGAGGGGACTGAGAGATTGGAAGGAAGTGGGGAGGATGAGGTGGGGAGGGGAGGATAAAGAGTCGTGCAATTGAGCAGCAACACACGGGCTGCAAAGGGCTTACCGAGCACGTCCCCTGGCTTCACACGGGGAGGCTTCCAGGACTCAACGCCATACGACCACGGGCTGAACCACCCCCTGCCCACCGTCACTGTCTTGGCCTGTGCTCATGGAGGAAGAAGATTGGCGAGAGGGGATGGGAGAACGGAACAGGGGGTGGTGGGGAGGGAGATAGAGTGGTGGGGAGTATTCGGGGAGAGACGCAAGTAGGGGGGAAAGGAGGTGCAAGAAGCGAATGGATGCAACATGGCTGACGGAGAAGCCAAAGGTAAGAGTGAAAAAGGGTGACGTGTGGCGGATGGCAAGCGTGTGGCGGATGGCAAGCGTGTGGCGGATGGCAAGCGTGTGGCGGATGGGATGGCAAGCGTGTGGCGAGATGCAAGGCTGGCTGGGGGCAGCGGTGGTGGCGGTTGCAGTGGTGGGGGCAGTGGCGGTACCTGAGTGTCGGCTGCACCTGCAGCCACAGAGGGTCAGAGAAGACAAGCAATGGGAGCAATGGGAGAACAGATGAAGCGAATAGTTAGGAGAGAGACAGCAAGGTGGAAAGCGAGGGGAACAAGAGCGAAAGGAGGGAGAGAATGAGATAGAGCGCGGGGTGGGACGGAGGTTAAAGACGGAATTGAAAAAGACGAGGGTCACCTGTCAACTGATCATTCACTATCACGAGACTTCACTTACACAGCAGCGCGATGAGGAACAGCGCGCAGAGCAAATTGAGCCTCGCCATCTCGGTCGCGGTCGCTGTCTCGCGCGGAAAGCTTGGAAACTATTGGAGGCAAGTCCCCGGCGGGCGAGCGGGTGAGGGGGTCTGGATTGATTCGACTCAAAGCTTGCGATTGCGTGGAAAATATAATGTGATTCCAACGGAGCTTCGGGAAACTGCATGCGATATGGCAGCGACGCGCAGCAGAGTGACTAAATAGCCGCGCCGCGCAAGGAAGGGCGCACACGGAAGGGCGCAATAAAGGGCGCAAGAGATGGCGCACGGAAGGGCGCACTGGCGGCGCCCGATAACTCGCAAACAGGCGAATAGGCGGCGAGGAATGAACGACGGTGACGACGCCGACGGTCGGACGGTCGGACGGTCGGAAGCACGGCGCGTCTGGCGCAAGCGGACGCTGCCTTGTCGGCGCCGGCCATGGCGCAATAGCTTCCCCTCGCGCAACGCTGCGGATAACGTTCTAAGACGGGCCGCGCACAAGAAGCGCGGAGTTGCTGAAGTTTTTGCAATCAACGTACAGCACATCACGCGGTGCGGAGCATGTGAGAGTTCACGCCGCTTGGAGGTCGGTTTGGTTGGAGAGAGATAAGGCAGGCTCGGATGGCTCTGAGCCAAGCCCGCCATGGAGGCATATGTACGCCACGTGACAGGCTGGCTCTGCTCCAGGCCGCTCTCTGCCCGCATGCGCCGCTCACCTGCGCCGTCAAGCAGCGTCGCAAGTGCGGGGGCACCACACCACGTGCTATATTTGGCATTGCTGCAACTCGACATTCCCTAGTCCGCCGACGAATGGCGTGGCGAGTCGCGACGAATCGTGCATTTCAAAGTGTAACTACCGTATTAGCCGGTGGGTGGGAACGTTGTGAAGGAACGTTTCGAGGGGTGGATTTTCGACCGCACTGAACCACGCGAAAATACTCAATAAAGAGCAAATTGCCCCTCAATAATTTGGTACACAAACGCTGTCAAGGTCAAACATGTAGAAAGCATCATAATCCATACCAAGATAAGAGTAAGGGGTATAGTTACAAGGAATACTACTAGTTTAATGTACGGTAAGCATTGCGCCTAAAACAGAAATCATGCACTAATTCTAATAGCCGCCTTCATCTTCCCTGCAAGGCAATGGCCTGGTACACTGCAGCCAAAGTATAATGTGGTTCCTGCTGCTGAACTTGGCACTGTGAACCTGAACATGCAGACAGACAAAGTATGGACAAAAACGATTTGAGCACACACATATGCAAGTAAACAAGCAGGCGTGTGTTTATGCACGCACACACTCTAGCACTCCTGTGAGAAAGAGGGGGGGAGAGGGGGAGAGAGGGAAGGAGGGAGAGCGAATAGATTGGAGGGAAGGCGAGACGGAAGGAGACAGAACAAGTGGGAAGGAGGGAGAGCGATAGGGGAAGAGAGAGAGAGAGAGAGAGAGAGAGAGAGAGAGAGAGAGAGAGAGAGAGAGAGAGAGAGGGGGGGGGGGGGGAGAGGGAGGGGAGAAGGGAGGGGAGGGGGGTGGGTGGAGGCGGAGTGTGGGGAAGGGGGAAGGGTGAAGGGGGAAAGAGGGGAGGCGCGCAGCCTACTTGTATTTGCCGGTCACGGAGATGCCCGTTTTCTTGGTGGAACTACCAGCGGAGAAGTCGCAGTTGGTGTAGGCGGTCTCAGAGTTCATCACCCACACGTCGTGCGGCAGGAACCGCCACCGAAACACTGTCGCGAGGATGCACGAGTGGGGAGAGCGTGGGGAATTAAGGGGAATAGGAAGAGTGGATGAAGACGGTGGGTAGGGGTGGGAGGGGTGGTGGGGGAAAGGAGATGGGAGGGAGGTGGGGGAACCGTACAACTGACGAAGAAAGAGCCTGCTGTAAATATGAGCGTCCAACGCAGTGGTCACAACGTTGCTCGATGCTGGAAAAACTCTAAGCACGATCGCCAAAGAGGCTACCCATCTCGCCATTTCTACACCGCCGCTTTTGCGATGCGCGTTGGCCTTACCGAGGACGTCTCCAGCTTTGACGGTGGGTTGTTTCCAGTTGATGACGTTGTACTGCCACGGACTCGCCTTCCGCTTTCCGCCCACCACCACCTTCTTGCCCTGCAGCGACACACCAGCCAGATGAACGTCCACGGGCGAATAAGAGGGATGTACAAATACTAATTGAAATAGCGCTCTCAGAAACACGTCCACCACCATCATCATGGATTCCTAAATGAATTTGCACTGCTGCGACGCACCCGCGAGACGAAAGTCCCCGGAAGATTCAAGGGACCTAAACGAGGGAATTCAATCGAGCACGTCGAGCGACGCAATGGCTGGTAGTTAATGCACGCGTTTTCATACGCTACGGGAGAATCCATGGAGTGGGAGAATAATGGTATGGGAGAGAAACGACCAGGTGGGAAGGCATACCTCAGCTACCGTGACGTAGAAGCCTGAGCGCAAGTCGGTCGCCAGAAGTAGTTGCGGAAAGAGCAGGATATTCGGGGAACACGGGGATTTGCGGAAAAGGTAGGGGGATGACGCGAAAGAGAGGGTACGGAGAGCGGATTGAATGCGAGCTCGGAGGTAGATGAGAGGAGTTCAGAGCTTTTACATTGATATATCCTAACGGTTCTTGAAAAAAAATCGCGTCAAATATAGACTACAAAACCTTCACCTAAGATGAATCCGTGCGCGCTACACGCGAGCAGCAATTCTCCTAAATGACAAGAGCAAGAATTGCATTGGGACAAGCCTAAAGCGAAGTCAGTTGAGGCCGTTGTACTCACAGGCGAGGACAAGCAGGAGGGTAAGGAGCAAGGTAGCCCGCGCCATGGCACTAGCAGAGACGAGCCTTATCGAGATTCTCGTGTGCTGCAGTGACCAAGAGCCGAGACGGATGTGATAAATACGTGGCGTCTCTTGTTTAGGCTATTTCTAGCACGAGAGAAGTGGGATGGAGGGAGGTTGTGAGAACGCTACAACTGAGGAGTTGGTGCCTTCCGCAGCCGGAGCCCCCCATATCCGCTGCGTCCAGGCCTGCGAGCCTACCACGTTTCGCCTCTATAGTCCATACCTGCCTCCCTGCTTGACAGCGGTTGGGCGTGATCGTGTGCTCCGAGGGACGCACCATGCTTGGGGGGTGCCGGACCAGAATCTCTTTCTTTGAGCGCGCAACACGTAAGGCAAACACCCTGCCTCGGTTCTGCAGAGTCGTGTGGGGCAGGTGATCTGTAACGCTTTGCTCTACTAGCTACCGTGTGGATGCGCTTTGGAAACTCACTGGCAAATCACAAGCGGCAAATTTCAATTTTGAAGGATGTCCAAGCCAAAACCATGCCGAAGCTAATGAGAGGTTTGCTCGCCAACTGGCCCACAGCCACTAGCACATCGTGATACTGTATAGAAAACGGTCACTAGCGCCGACATTTCCACCGACCTGATGAGACTAGACTGCCCATTATTATCAATAATCTGAAAGGGGAAGAACACAAATTGGAGCAACAAGGTATCCAACCGTATATTCTTCATCTGTGTCTCAATCCCTGACACTTGGTAATACCGTAGCTGGATTGATATCTCTGAATGAGTGTTATCGGCTTCATGAAGAATCACGACCTCATTCAAGGCCAGTGTGCTATTTCTTATGGCTTGCCCCTGCTGAAGGTCACACACACCCAGAGAAGAGCCATGCCAATTTGAACCCCTACAGCCTCATCCTTCCCATGGGAAAAAAACAATGATAACGTGCGTTTGCTACATGAGCAGTTTTGTGTCGAACATGTTACAACCAGTGTTAAAAGAAGACATCATTTTCTGTAAGTGGTTAGTTGCACGGGAAGCTACAAGTTTCATGGCTCACGCATCATGAGCCTAAAAGGAAAGTATTACACCTAGAACAGGGCGAAGGGGGGAGTAGGAGGGCTAGACGGGGGGAGGGGGAGGGGAAGGGGGAGGGGAAGGGGGAGGAGAAGGGGGAGGAGGGGGCGCGGCGGGAGCCCCGGGGCCACTAATTCTAATAGCCACCTTGATCTTCCATGCAGCGCACTGCCATAGCACACTGCTGCCAAAGTATAATGTGGTTCCTGCTGCTGAACTTGGCACTTTGTACCTGAAGTTTGAAACATGCCGAAGACATTCACACACAGACACATACGTACATACAAGGCATGACAGGCACAGATTGAGCACACAGAGGCACAAGTAACTCCAATCAGACTCAACACTTGAGGCATACGGTAAGGAAGACGAGAGGCAGCAGCACAACCTACTACTATTTCCAAGTCACAGAAATTCATTTGAGCCTGACTCAAAATACGCATGAATGGTGCAGAGGAAGAACAGGGAAGAGATGAAGAGAGCAGCACAACCCACCTGTATTTCCCAGTGAAAGAGATCCCAGTCTTCCTGGTGGCGCTGCCGGCAGAGAAATCGCAGTTGACGTAGGCTTTCCTTGAGTTCATCAGCCACACGTCATGCGGCACAAACCGCCATCGGAACACTGCAGGCGGGAGGCATACAAGGGGGTGCAAGCGAGGAGGAGCACGAGAAAAACATGTGGGGAAGAAGGGTCGGACGAAAAGTGGGGGAAATGAGGGCGGGGGTGGAAAGGGGGTGGGGGAGGGGGACATACGAGCCACATGTGAACCCGAGCGTCATAGCAGGACTACGGCGCTGCGTGACGCTAGGCGCGGCTGGCCAGGCTGGCCGCGACGGCATCGTTGGGAAGAGAGAAAAGGAGAGATCCGAGGTGATTAGGAGTTGATAGAAGAAGATTCTGATCACAGAAAAAATTCGGGTTCGATGACAAAGATCAGAATGCTAGATCACAAAGAACTTCACGGTGAAGATTGTGATCGACAGAAAATGTTCAACCAGCAGCATCCCATCTTGGCGCAGCGCCTCGATGGTCGGTTAGGTCGGACTGATCCTTCCAACGAGGATGTGAGAAGTAACTCTAGATTACCGTACTTGTCCTTATTTGGAGCTAACAATACACCTACAGCTTTTGTACTCCGAATAATCCTATGCATGCCTGCATGGCGAATTCCACGCCGATTCCTTCTCGCCAACTCCGAAACTTTTGCCACGATCATTGCGCCGCTTACCGAGGACGTCTCCAGGGCGGACGGTGGGTTGCTTCCAGTAGAGAACGTTGAACCGCCACGGACTCGCCCTCCACTTTCCGCCCACCACCACCGTCTTACCCTGCAGCGACACGGCGGCCAACTTGGATTGTACGTCAGGGGAAACTGAATGGAAGAATAATCTCCAAGACGGGGAATGTGACCAGAACACATTTAGACGAATCAGTAAAGTCAGTTTATTTAAGCGATTGTATATGTTATTACGAGCGATTAACGGGTGCGTGAAGTGTAGTACCTCAGTCTGGTACGACCCTGCTCCGGAGTCACGCGCCAGAGCCGGTTTGCGGAAGGAGTAGGTATTCGCCAACAGAGAATTGGGGGAAAGGACGGGGAGGACGTGAGGAATATAATGCGATGAAACGAATACAAGAATCGGGAAGGAAAAAGAGATGCCATCTCCCTTTCAAAGTTAACAGAGGAGAGAGATTGGATGGATATTGAGAGCCTTATATGAGGTCGTCAATCCACGATAAACATGTAAGGCTGATAAGGAAGGTTGTCGACTCCAGGCCGTTCATTAGCGTTTTCTGAAGTGAAGAATACTTACCATTATAGAGCTTTGCTAATCTCATTACGGCTAATGCATAAGGGGCTAGTGAGGCAGAAATACGAACGCCATCACTTACAGGCGAGGACAAGCAGGAAGGTCAGGAGCACGGTAGCCCGCGCCATGGCGACTAGGGAATTTTCGTGCACGGGAACTAGTCGGGATTTCCGTGCACTGTGAGTCCCTTTGTCGGAAGATCCTGGGAGGACTGAGCCATCCTATTGACAAAAGTGAACTTAAATAGCCTTTCGAGTAGGCTGAGTCGACTTTGGGTCGACTCGCCGAAAGTCAAACTCGTTCGACTCGACATTAGAATCATTTTTTTATTGTCGACTTTAGTCGACTACAAATGTCAACTCTTTTGAGTCGAATCGACGTCAGCTATAGACTGAAGACAGCGCTGGAGTGTGTGGTGTGGTGCTGGTCTGCATGCACCATCGCAAAAACAGATGGGTAGCAGCAAGTGGGGTGGCTTTTGAATTAGGGGCACCCACCCACCCACCTCTTACAGAGGAGTTGGTGGTTGGTAGTGGTGGGTTTTGCGCCGTCGAAAGAGGAGCTGCAGCAATGTTGCATTCGGAATGGGCGGCGGAAAATTGTGCATGGATCACTTGTTCAGGCTGGTATGTGGCGGTTCAAAGCGGTGGGAGAAGCATACCGCTCTAGAACGCACAAACTCGTACTCAACCATAACACGTCCTAACTTCCCGTTCAAGTTGGCGTGCAAATTCGTGAATGCTGCTGTTGGCGAGAATGCTGTTTCGTCTTTATCTGTTGTTACCATTCTCGCTTTGCGGCAAAACACTTCCCTCGCTCAAATCGCAAACCTAGTCAGCGCGAATCTACTTCCAGGAATTGAGAAAGGCCACGTTGATTCCGGGAACTGAGTAGAAAATCAGGGTGACGTCATATATGAAAGCCCGCAGGCCCAGACCCCAAGCCTCACGCTAAACCACCAAGTTGGGACAGTACACCCCTATAATAGACATATTTACAAGTCCAAGACGACAGAGTGCAATTAAGTGGGAACAATCTATGCAATTGAACTTAAGAATGCCCCTATAAACCTCCATTCAGGGGAATACAGTACATCAGTACGGAAGACCAATTACCTAGCGTTTCAGCCTTGTTTTTTTCCAAACTTGTCAGCCTACTAGTGTACGGAAGTCTTTATTTTACATAAGTGGTTAGTCACATGAGAAGCTACCAGTTTCATGGCCCATGGATCATGAAAGCATTGCAAACCGAGAGCAGGCCAATGGTTGGATGAAGGTTAGGAAGGCGGAGGCCCGGGAGGGGGAGGGGAAGGTGGAGGGGAAGGTGGAGGGGAAGGGGGAGGGGGAGGCGGGGCGGGAGGCCCAGCAGCGCCACCAATTCTAATAGCCACCTTCAGCTTCCCTATTGTGCACTGCCATAGCACACTGCTGCCAAAGTATAAGGTGGTCCCTGCTGCTGAACTTGGCACCTTGTAACTGAAAATAGAAACATGCCGTAGACATGCACGCACAGGCACATTCATACAGGCAAGGCATGCCAGGCACAGGCGTAAGTAAACACACAGGTGTGTGCATGCAGGTACGAGCTGGCATCCCTGCCAACCAGACTCACACTTCACCACATCTAAGCCAAAGAAACACCATCCTAGCCCGCTCAGCAAGCTTGGGGCATAAGGAAGATGAGAGACAGCAGCACAACCTACTTATTTCCCAGTCACAGAAATGCCTTTTTCAGCCTCACCCAAAACACGGATGGATGGGGCAGAGGAAGAACAAGGAAGAGACAAAGAGAGCAGCAGCACGACCTACTTGTATGTCCCGGTGAAAGAGATCCCAGTCTTCCTGGTGGCGCTTCCGGCAGAGAAATCACAGTTAGTGTAGGCGGCCCTTGTGTGCATCAGCCAGACGTCTTTCGGCAGGAACCGCCATCGGAACACTGCAGCCGGGACGCACGCACGGGGGTGCACGTGAGGGAGGTGCACGCGCAAAGCGTGTGGGGATGAAGGGGCGGAGGAAGAGTTAGTGAGATGAGGGCGGAAAGCGGGGGGGGAAGAGGGGGGAAGGGGGGGGGGGGGGGGGGGGGGGGTGGGGGAGCGGCTGGGGGGGACCACACGAGGCACGCATGGAAAATATTCGAACCGAGCCCGAGCGTCACTGCTCGGTCCGGAAATGAAACAGGACTACGGCGCTGCAACGCTAGGGAAGAGAGAAGCAGAGAGGAAGGAAGTCGAGATCCAAAAACATGCTGACGACGTCATTGCGCTTACCGAGGACGTCTCCAGCGCGGACGGTGGGTTGCTTCCAGTAAAGGACGTTGTACCGCCACGGACTCACCCTCCACTTTGCGCCCACCACCACCGTCTTACCCTGCATCGACACGGAGACCAGCTTGCGATTGTACGTCAAGGGAAACTGAATGGAATATTAATCTCCAAAAAACACGTTTAGACGAATCAGTAAATGGCAGTTTACGCAAGCGATTAAAAATGTTCTTGAAAGCGATTAACGAGTAGGTCGACAGGAGTACCATATAAGTGTAGTACCTCGGTGCGGTACGACCCTGCGCGCGCCAGAGCCGCGGTTTGCAAAGGAGTAGGTATCCGCCGAGAGAAGGGGAATCGGGGAAAAGGGCGGAGATGACGTGAGGGATAGAATGAGACGAAACGAATACAAGAATCGGGAAGGAACAGGAGATGATCGTTAAACTTTTCAAAGTTAACAGAGGAGAGATAAGATGCATATCAAGAGCCTTATGAGACGTCGTCCATACACGATAAACATGTAAGGCTGATAAGGGAAGTTGTCGACTCCAGGCCGTTCATTATAGCGTATTCTGAAGTAAAGATTACTTACTATTATAAGATTCTATCAAATCTCTTACTCTACGCGTTCGGAACGCGTAGCGGCACTGACACAGCGAGGTAGACAAGAGAGCTTCGTTATGCTCACCATACGGCTAATGCATACGGGGCTAGTGAGTCACGGGAGGACAAAGCGCATTGGGGCAGATGCTACGAACGCCATCACTTACAGGCGAGGACAAGCAGGAGGGTCAGGAGCACGGTACCCCGCGCCATGGCGACTAGGGTACTATGTTCGTGCACAGGTACTACTAGTCGGGATTTCCGTGCACCGTGAGTCCCTTTGTCGGAAAATCCTGGGATGACTCAGCCATTCAGTGGCGATAGTGAACTTAAATGGCGATTGGAACGAGCAGAGTCGACTTTGAGTCGACTCGAAAGTCAAACTCTTTCTCGAGACGACTTTAAACTCAGTCTACTCTTTTTTAAAGTCGACTAAAATGAGACTGAGTTTGTAGTCGACTTTTAGACTGTCTCATTATTTAGGCTCTTTCTTTTTGTCGACTCTTTAGTCAACTCTTTTGAGTCGACTCAAATGTCAACTCTTCGGAGTCGAATCGAAGTCGGCTAGGGATTGACGGCAGGCTGCTCGCGCCAGAGTGTGTGGTGCTAGTCTCTGCACATCACAAACAAACAGATGGGTATCAGGGGGGGAGGGCCTTCAATTACCCACCTCTCACTCATCTGTCGAAACTGCAGCAGTTATGATGGGGGAGCAGATGGTTGGTAGGTTTTGCCCTGCCGAAATGGACCTGCAGCAATGTTGCCGTTGGAATGGGCGGCTCGATCAACTTCCCGGGCGAGTTGGCGTGCAAATTCGTGAATGCTGCTGTTTGCGAGAGTTCGCTTTCGTCTGTATCGGTTGTTACAATTCTTGCTGTGCGCCCAAACAGTGCCCCTCTCTCGCAAACCTCTGCTGCTGGTTTCGACAGCGCGCATCTACACTTCCAGGAATTGAGAAAGGCCACGCTGATTCCGAGAATTGAGTAGATTTTTGGGATTTTTGGGCCATCTCTGAAAGCCCGTACCTACCGTACATTTTTTACATGTTCCTGCGGATGCCTGGACCCAAGACTCGTGCAAACCACGAAGTTTGGGCAGTACACTCTACTAATGAACAAGAACATGTAGAACATGAGCATAGGCCCCTAGAATCCCCTATTGAGGGGATTACATTACATATGTATTGGTATGTATGGAACACCAATTACCTAACCACAATGTGACACCAATTAACACCAATCAACTAGTAGGCGATTTACGACACCACACTACACCACAATGAACCTCACAGCCTAGCATTCTTCCCACCCAAGCAATACCATATGGACCAGACTCGAAGGACTCGAAACAAAAACCATTTCCTTAGTAAGCACCCTCACTGTTCCAGCATTCCAGCAAGCCATCGAATCTCCTCGCACCAAAGTCTTGTTGTACGGTAACATTGCGACAGTGGAATAATTATCCCTTTACCGGTTGAATGAGCTTGCAGCTGCCCGCCAAACATCCTCTATAAACACCTCCCGGCACAGTGCTAGCGCTGTCCAGCAAAACGCTACTGCCCGACAAGATGTTATTGCTGCCCAAAAAAGCCTTATGCTGCCCGACAAGGCGTTATCGCTGGCCGCAAGGTGGTGTCATCTGGAGGTTGCGAAGAAAGACTTGAGCACGAGCCGTTCCATGGCGTCTGCCTCCCAGTGGTAGGAGGAGAGTGTGTGCAGGCACTCACTGCACAGAGGGTGGGGAGGGGCAGGGTTCATGAGGTGGGAGTGTGGGGTAAGGGGTGGAGGTAGGTTTAAAAATATGCTTGGGGCTCCTGATGGCGCCTGCTTTCCAGTGGTAGGAGGAGAGCGTGTGCAGGCACTCACCGCACCGGGGGTGGCATGTTGTGAGAGTGTGGGGTAAGGGGTGGAGGTAGGTTTGGAGGAGTAGATGAGGATTGTAGTGGCGCCTGCCTCAGTGTGGTACAAAAAAGAGCGTGCTCAGGCACTCTCTGCACAGAGGGGAAGTGGGGAGAGTGTGGGGGTGATTAAGTTGAAACTACTCAGTGCACGCTCCTGTGGCATCGTGTGGCACCGTGTGGCACCGTGTGGCACAGGAGAGTGTGGGGTAAGGGAGGGTGGGAGGGTGGATATTAGGGACCGAGCAGATCCACGGCGCCTGCCAGTGGCACGAAGGGAGCGTGGTCAGGTACGCACTGCATAGCGCGGGGTTACGGGGTAAGAGTGTGGAGTACAGGGGGAGGTATGTCTGGAAGAGTGCTTAGGGTTCCGGATGGCATGTGACCGTCGAGTGGTAGGAGAGGAGCGGGCTCAGGTACTCACTAGGGTGGGCACAGGGGGGGAGAAGATGGTGTAAGGAGGTAGGGTGTGACAGGTCATCCTGTGTGCCTGCACCACCCCACCTGTGTGCCTGCACCACCCCACCTGTGTGCCTGCACCACCCCACCTGTGTGCCTGCACCACCCCACCTGTGTGCCTGCACCACCCCACCTGTGTGCCTGCACCACCCCACCTGTGTGCCTGCACCACCCCACCTGTGTGCCTGCACCATCCCGCTTGAGGTGCGCTGCCCACTCGTGCACTGCGCGCTCAACTCAAAACCCTTACCCATGCAACTCTCCACCAGCGCTGCTGCAGCAGCAGCACACCCACCTGTGCAGCTCCAGCAACTCCCCGTATATGTGCTTGATGTTCGCCGCCCACTCGTGCACTGCAGTCTCAAACCTTCCCCGCGCGCAACTGTGCAGCTCCAGCAACTCCCCGTATATGTGCTTGAGGTGTGCCGCCCACTCGTGCATCTTGCAGAACATCCAGAAGGGGTACCTGTGCTGACCACCACACCACCCCACCTGTGCTGACCACCACACCACCCCACCTGTGAGGTTCAAGAAACTCCTCGTAGATGTGCTTGAGGTGCGCCGCCCATTCGTGCACGGTGGTCTTGCGCCACGCACCGTCGCAGATCACCCAGTCCTTCTGCTCCAACGCCAGGTCCTCAAACGCGATGTTGAACCGGTGCAGACTACAGGAGGGGGAAAGTGAGAAGGGGTTGCGGGAGGACAAGGGATGAGGAGAGGAGAGGGTCTTGCAGCGCACACAGACGCCGTCGCAGATCACCCAGTCCTTCTGCTCCAACGCCAGGTCCTCAAAGGCTATGTTGAAGCGGTGCAAGCTGTGGGAGGGGGAAGAAGAGAGGGGTTTGTTGGGGGGGGAGAAGGGGCGAGGAGAGGGTCTTGCAGCGCACACACACGCCGTCGCAGATCACCCAGTCCTCCTGCTCCAACGCACGATCTTCAAACGCAATGTTGAAGCGGTGCAGACTGGAAGAGGGGAGAGGTAAGGAGGGGTATTGGAAGGGAGGGGGGGATGATTAATCATGAGCCACGGGTCATCACAGATTCCCCAGTCCTTCTAGGTGAGACGGGGTTTGTAGAGGCGAGGAGGGACACAAGAAGGGTGTTGCAGCGCAGCGCACACACCATGGCAGGCAGGTAACCCAGTGCCACGGTGTGTGCGCAGATAACTCAAAGGAAATATTGAAATTCACACGCCCATGTGACTTCATTGACTCAACTCACCGCCAGTTGTCTTGATTGACTCAATTTCACCGTCAAACTTACCACTTGTTGACCTCACTGCCCTCCGTATCTCAGACTCACCGACGGTTGACTTCATTGACTCAGACTCACCAACGGTTGACTTCATTGACTCAGACTCACCGACGGTTGACTTCATTGACTGAGACTCACCGACGGTTGACTTCATTGACTCAGACTCACCGACGGTTGACTTCATTGACTGAGACTCACCGACGGTTGACTTCATTGACTCAGACTCACCGACGGTTGACTTCATTGACTCAGACTCACCGACGGTTGACTTCATTGACTCAGACTCACCGACGGTTGACTTCATTGACTCAGACTCACCGACGGTTGACTTCACTGGGTTCCATGGTGGCACTCCTTCCTCGCCCGCCCAACGATGCCGTCACCTGTGGCAGCAGCGGCGAGCAGACAGGGCGCATGGGAGGCGAGTCAGGTGTGGTTGAGAGGCATGATGGGCAGTTGAGAGGCGGAGGGACGGAAGAGGGGCTGGGAAATGGACACTATGTAACATGTTGTGCGCGGTAGTGATGTGTAGGGTCTGTACGGTGAGAATGAGGGCACTGTAACATGGACTGTTAAGCTCGGCACGCTGTAACATGTGGCACGCTGTAACACGTGGCACACAGTAATACGTGGAAGACAGTAACACGTGGCACACCACCATTGGCTTACCTTCTGCAACCCAGCCTCCCTGAAGGCCTTTGATTGGGCCTCCAGCAGCTTCTGATTCTCCAGGGGCAGGTGAATCTTCTCACTCAACCTGCCGGAGAAAGCAGAAAGAAGGTGGGCGTGGAGGGCTGAGGACGGGTGAGGCGGCGAGCTGGCAAGAAGATCAAGGAAAGGAAATTTGATAGGACTACGTCGTGATAGGGAAGGTACGAAGAAAACCAGCATAGCCAACGCAAAAGACGACACATAGTGGATGGAAAGCACAGCAGCCATTGTACAGGTTAGAGCATGCAGCATAGCATACCTCGGTTAATGTAGAGGATGTTTGTTAACGAGGAAGAGGGACTTAAGTGACTTTGAGAGTCGACTCAAGAGCCGGTTTTTGAGAATTCTCAAGAGCCACCTCAATGCATACCGGTTGATGTAGAGGACGTTGTTCACGAGGAAGAGGGACTTGAGCAGCGGGTTGTTGCAGGTAGACGCCCTTGCCTCCATGTTTCGCACCAACGCATCAACCACCTGTAAAAGAAGGGGTTGGAAGCGGTGGAAGCGGTTAGAGCATGGTGGAGAGGGGTGCGCGGGGGTGTAGGGGGATGGAGGGTGGTGGACAACAAGGTTGGAGGAGTTGGGAAGAGTTTTTTGGTGCGTCAGGCATGCGATAAGGAACATGTATGAGCAGAGGGTTGTCTTTTCGGGTAAACTTTATTTAGAGGCATGCGATACAGGCGGGCACTTATGAGCAGACAGTTGTTCCACGGGGAGACTCTCCCTCTATATTTGCATGCACCAATGCTGCGATCACTAGCACAAAGGGGTGGATGTGGGTTGAAAGGGGTGGAGGGGAGTGGAGTGGAGGAAGGGAAGTTCTGACGCTTCGGGAGAGGCAAAGAGGCAGTAGAGGGCTGCTCTGCTCTCCACTGCTCTCTGCGGCTCTGCTGTATCTGTATGTGCTTCCGCGCTGCACAGTGATAGAGTGCAGAGAGACAACCTTTCGCATTCACGCCTTGCCTTGTGTGCTGTGCTGGGCCCTGCGCCTTTCACTCACTCCCCTCTGCTTCCCACCTTCATGGACTCCTCCTCCTCCTCCTCCTCCCTCCATGCTCTGACCCCCTTTCCCCTCACTGCCCCCACCCACCCCCTCCCCCTCAACCCCTCCCTGCCTCTCACCTTCATGGTTTCCTCCTCCATGCTCCGCCCCTGCCCATGCGTCTCCAGCAGCTTCTCCAGCATCGTACCGTACCCATACGCCCGTGATGACGTGGCACTCCTGCGAGGGGTAAGAGCACGGGGTGCAGGCAGGGAAGGATTGATATGCTTGATTTGATGCCCTCTGCCGTGGTGTGGAACTAGTCTATGTGGAACATGAGGCAGAGGTGTGGAACTAGTCTAGGTGCGTGCAGCATGCACCTGCCCAGGTAGGTGGCAATGTAGTTGATGACATAGCTGGTGACCGCATGCACGCCCCCACTCTTCTCCACGCCCCACCCCGGTGGGTACCCGCCCCCTCCCCCGCCCTCCTTGCCACTGCTGCTGCCCTCCCCTCGGAACAACCGCCTGCATGCCACAGCACAGCACAGTGCCGCACCGTACAGCACAGGAGACACAGTGCAATACAATGAAAGGCGCACATAGCACACTACACACGCCATACAAGGTGCAACGCACATGGCACGCACAGAGGTGAACCCCACCCCAACCTCATCACTTGCTCTCAACCACCACATCCCATCCCCCCCGTTGTAAACTCCTGCCCGCGCCCACACCACTTGCTCTTGCACGGCAGCTCACCAGTTGCTCTCATACACCCCCTCCCTCCTCCCCACTCCCTCCTCCCCCCTCCCCTTCCTTTATTAAAAACTGCTCTCGCCCTCCCTCCTTCCCTCCCTCCCTTTCTCCCCCCTTGCACAATCGCACGCACCATTTAATCCGTCGTGGCTGCTCCACGGGCACCTGCAGCGTGGCAGTGAGCGCATCAAACGTGCCCAGCACCACTTGCACTCAATACCCCCCTTCCCTTCCTTTCTCTCCCCTTCCCCTTCCCCCTCCCAGTCAACTCACCACTTGTTCCGTCTTGGCTGCTCCACAGGCACCTGCAGCGTGGCGGTGAGAGCATCAAACGTGCCCAGCACCACTTGCACTCAATACCCCCCTTCCCTTCCTTTCTCTCCCCTTCCCCTTCCCCCTCCCAGTCAACTCACCACTTGTTCCGTCTTGGCTGCTCCACGGGCACCTGCAGCGTGGCGGTGAGAGCATCAAACGTGCCCAGCACCACTTGCACTCAATACCCCCCTTCCCTTCCTTTCTCTCCCCTTCCCCTTCCCCCTCCCAGTCAACTCACCACTTGTTCCGTCTTGGCTGCTCCACGGGCACCTGCAGCGTGGCGGTGAGAGCATCAAACGTGCCCAGCACCACTTGCACTCAATACCCCCCTTCCCTTCCTTTCTCTCCCCTTCCCCTTCCCCCTCCCAGTCAACTCACCACTTGTTCCGTCTTGGCTGCTCCACGGGCACCTGCAGCGTGGCGGTGAGAGCATCAAACGTGCCCAGCACCACTTGCACTCAAGACCCCCCTTCCCTTCCTTTCTCTCCCCTTCCCCTTCCCCCTCCCAGTCAACTCACCACTTGTTCCGTCTTGGCTGCTCCACGGGCACCTGCAGCGTGGCGGTGAGAGCATCAAACGTGCCCAGCACCGCCTTGGCCACACCCCGCGTCAGCCCCCGCCACTCCGCCAGCAGCCCCTCGCTGTCCGACCAGCACACCAGCCGCTCCACCTGCCAGGGTATGGGAAACGGGGGAGGCAAGAGGGGGTGGTGAGTGGGGAATGGAGGGAGCCGGGGCGGTTTAAGTGGATTAGACGTCTCACAGCCCCCGCCACTCCGCCAGCAGCCCTTCACTGTCCGACCAGCACACTAGCCGCTCCACCTGCCAGGGTCAAAGGGGGGACAGAGGCGTTGAGCAGGAATGATTCTCACTCGCTTTGAACAGCAGCCTCTCGCTGCTTTGAGACGTCTCACAACTCGCTTTAAACAGCAGCTTCTCGCTACCCCACCATCACATCACTCCACTTGATGGTGAGTACGGGAGAGAGGGAGTTGAACTTAAGTCCATAGGCTCCTTACAGCAACCCTATCTTAGACCCAGAAACTCCAAATCGTAGCCCTTAACCCATCCCCACCCACAACCCAGAAGCCTTCAGCATGACCTGCCCACTCCTCCCCACCTGAGGCATGAGCTCCTCTCACTCAAACACCCGGACTCTCCCCCCCACCCGCAACCCACAAGCCCTCAGTAAGGCCTGCCCACTGCCCACCTGCGGCATGAGCTCATCCACAGCAGCAGCCATGTCGAGCAGCAGGAAGAGCCGCTCAGGCGTGGCCTGGGCAGCCGTGAGCGTGTTGGCGTTGTGCATCAGCGTCGACAGCGTCCTTGGCATCCCCGCCTGCCGCAATATCTTGAGGGAGATCGCCCTCCCCGAGTCTGCCGCAGCCTCGTCACCCAGCCTCAAGGTCCGGGTGCTCCCGGACCTCCCGGACTTGCTGGCTGTGGTTCGGATGCTGGAGGATCGGTGGCTAGGGAGGCGAGGGTTGGATAGGGTGGTGCTGGTGGCTGTGGTGGAGGAGGAGGTGGAGGAAGGGGTTTGCAGGAGTTGAGAGGGTTCCCGGCGGCTGGCAGTGCGGTGCTGTGCGGTGGAGTGGAGTATGCCGAAGATGGAAGTGGCAAGGGAGAATTCCTCCTCCATTATTGTGCGCAGCTGAAGAGGGGCAGAGAACGGGAGAGAACGTGGGGAGAGGGAGGGGCAGAGACGAGGACAGATATTGGGCAGAGGAGAGAGACGGGCACAGCATCTCAGCTCAGGAAACGAGGGACTGAACAGGGAGGGGGGAGGGATGGTAAAGAGTGGTTGTGTTGCGGGCAAGAGCGAGGAGCAAGGTGAAGATGGGCTGCTGCAGCACTTTCAACATGGGCCACCACGAGCCCTCACCAGCAACTCCCCTCCCCCGAAACTGCCCTCACCAGGACGGCTGGTGACACAGCACCCCTCACCAGCACCCCTACCCAGCACCCCTCACCAGCACCCCTCACCAGCACCCCTCACCAGCAGGCGACAGTCCCTGGTGTGCTCAAACAGCCCGCACACAGCCAGTCCGTCATGGTGTGCTCAAACAGCCCGCACACAGCCAGTCCGTCATGGTGTGCTCAAACAGCCCGCACACAGCCAGTCCGTCATGGTGTGCTCAAACAGCCCGCACACAGCCAGTCCGTCATGGTGTGCTCAAACAGCCCGCACACAGCCAGTCCGTCATGGTGTGCTCAAACAGCCCGCACACAGCCAGTCCGTCATGGTGTGCTCAAACAGCCCGCACACAGCCAGTCCGTCATGGTGTGCTCAAACAGCCCGCACACAGCCAGTCCGTCATGGTGTGCTCAAACAGCCCGCACACAGCCAGTCCGTCATGGTGTGCTCAAACAGCCCGCACACAGCCAGTCCGTCATGGTGTGCTCAAACAGCCCGCACACAGCCAGTCCGTCATGGTGTGCTCAAACAGCCCGCACACAGCCAGTCCGTCATGGTGTGCTCAAACAGCCCGCACACAGCCAGTCCGTCATGGTGTGCTCAAACAGCCCGCACACAGCCAGTCCGTCATGGTGTGCTCAAACAGCCCGCACACAGCCAGTCCGTCATGGTGTGCTCAAACAGCCCGCACACAGCCGGTCCGTCATGGTGTGCTCAAACAGCCCGCACACAGCCAGTCCGTCATGGTGTGCTCAAACAGCCCGCACACAGCCAGTCCGTCATGGTGTGCTCAAACAGCCCGCACACAGCCAGTCCGTCATGGTGTGCTCAAACAGCCCGCACACAGCCAGTCCGTCATGGTGTGCTCAAACAGCCCGCACACAGCCAGTCCGTCATGGTGTGCTCAAACAGCCCGCACACAGCCAGTCCGTCATGGTGTGCTCAAACAGCCCGCACACAGCCAGTCCGTCATGGTGTGCTCAAACAGCCCGCACACAGCCAGTCCGTCATGGTGTGCTCAAACAGCCCGCACACAGCCAGTCCGTCATGGTGTGCTCAAACAGCCCGCACACAGCCAGTCCGTCATGGTGTGCTCAAACAGCCCGCACACAGCCAGTCCGTCATGGTGTGCTCAAACAGCCTGCACACAGCCAGTCCGTCATGGTGTGCTCAAACAGCCCGCACACAGCCAGTCCGTCATGGTGTGCTCAAACAGCCCGCACACAGCCAGTCCGTCATGGTGTGCTCAAACAGCCCGCACACAGCCAGTCCGTCATGGTGTGCTCAAACAGCCCGCACACAGCCAGTCCGTCATGGTGTGCTCAAACAGCCCGCACACAGCCAGTCCGTCATGGTGTGCTCAAACAGCCCGCACACAGCCAGTCCGTCATGGTGTGCTCAAACAGCCCGCACACAGCCAGTCCGTCATGGTGTGCTCAAACAGCCCGCACACAGCCAGTCCGTCATGGTGTGCTCAAACAGCCCGCACACAGCCAGTCCGTCATGGTGTGCTCAAACAGCCCGCACACAGCCAGTCCGTCATGGTGTGCTCAAACAGCCCGCACACAGCCAGTCCGTCATGGTGTGCTCAAACAGCCCGCACACAGCCAGTCCGTCATGGTGTGCTCAAACAGCCCGCACACAGCCAGTCCGTCATGGTGTGCTCAAACAGCCCGCACACAGCCAGTCCGTCATGGTGTGCTCAAACAGCCCGCACACAGCCAGTCCGTCATGGTGTGCTCAAACAGCCCGCACACAGCCAGTCCGTCATGGTGTGCTCAAACAGCCCGCACACAGCCAGTCCGTCATGGTGTGCTCAAACAGCCCGCACACAGCCAGTCCGTCATGGTGTGTTCAAACAGCCCGCACACAGCCAGTCCGTCATGGTGTGCTCAAACAGCCCGCACACAGCCAGTCCGTCATGGTGTGCTCAAACAGCCCGCACACAGCCAGTCCATCATGGTGTGCTCAAACAGCCCGCACACAGCCAGTCCGTCATGGTGTGCTCAAACAGCCCCCACACAGCCAGTCCGTCATGGTGTGCTCAAACAGCCCGCACACAGCCAGTCCGTGATGGTGTGCTCAAACAGCCCGCACACAGCCAGTCCGTCATGGTGTGCTCAAACAGCCCGCACACAGCCAGTCCGTCATGGTGTGCTCAAACAGCCCGCACACAGCCAGTCCGTCATGGTGTGCTCAAACAGCCCGCACACAGCCAGTCCGTCATGGTGTGCTCAAACAGCCCGCACACAGCCAGTCCGTCATGGTGTGCTCAAACAGCCCGCACACAGCCAGTCCGTCATGGTGTGCTCAAACAGCCCGCACACAGCCAGTCCGTCATGGTGTGCTCAAACAGCCCGCACACAGCCGGTCCGTCATGGTGTGCTCAAACAGCCCGCACACAGCCAGTCCGTCATGGTGTGCTCAAACAGCCCGCACACAGCCAGTCCGTCATGGTGTGCTCAAACAGCCCGCACACAGCCAGTCCGTCATGGTGTGCTCAAACAGCCCGCACACAGCCAGTCCGTCATGGTGTGCTCAAACAGCCCGCACACAGCCAGTCCGTCATGGTGTGCTCAAACAGCCCGCACACAGCCAGTCCGTCATGGTGTGCTCAAACAGCCCGCACACAGCCAGTCCGTCATGGTGTGCTCAAACAGCCCGCACACAGCCAGTCCGTCATGGTGTGCTCAAACAGCCCGCACACAGCCAGTCCGTCATGGTGTGCTCAAACAGCCCGCACACAGCCAGTCCGTCATGGTGTGCTCAAACAGCCCGCACACAGCCAGTCCGTCATGGTGTGCTCAAACAGCCCGCACACAGCCAGTCCGTCATGGTGTGCTCAAACAGCCCGCACACAGCCAGTCCGTCATGGTGTGCTCAAACAGCCCGCACACAGCCAGTCCGTCATGGTGTGTTCAAACAGCCCGCACACAGCCAGTCCGTCATGGTGTGCTCAAACAGCCCGCACACAGCCAGTCCGTCATGGTGTGCTCAAACAGCCCGCACACAGCCAGTCCATCATGGTGTGCTCAAACAGCCCGCACACAGCCAGTCCGTCATGGTGTGCTCAAACAGCCCCCACACAGCCAGTCCGTCATGGTGTGCTCAAACAGCCCGCACACAGCCAGTCCGTGATGGTGTGCTCAAACAGCCCGCACACAGCCAGTCCGTCATGGTGTGCTCAAACAGCCCGCACACAGCCAGTCCGTCATGGTGTGCTCAAACAGCCCGCACACAGCCAGTCCGTCATGGTGTGCTCAAACAGCCCGCACACAGCCAGTCCGTCATGGTGTGCTCAAACAGCCCGCACACAGCCAGTCCGTCATGGTGTGCTCAAACAGCCCGCACACAGCCAGTCCGTCATGGTGTGCTCAAACAGCCCGCACACAGCCAGTCCGTCATGGTGTGCTCAAACAGCCCGCACACAGCCAGTCCGTCATGGTGTGCTCAAACAGCCCGCACACAGCCTTCCCCACAAGCACAGCACCCAACACCAGCACCACTCACCAGCAGGCGACAGTCCCTGAGCCAGTCGGTCATGGTGTGCTGCAGCTGCTGCCACGGCAGCTGGTTCACATGCGCCGTACCCCTTATAGGCTCCACCTCCAACGCCTTTATCGTCTCCCGCACACAGTCCTCCCGCACCGACCTGATAGGGTGTTGAAGAGGAAGAGAGAAGAGCGAGATAGAGGCGGAGGGGAATTCAGGCGAGAGATGGAAGGGTGAGGGGGTAGTAGGCGGGAGACAGAGTGTGAGGGAGAATTAGCGGGAGATATATTGTGGAGGGGAAATTGGGCGGGAGGTAGAGTGTGAGGCGAGAAAGGAAGGGGGTAGGCAGGGGGGAGGAGGGTAGGTGATTGATAGAGGGTGAGTAGCTTAAGCCATCTCTGCGTCACATGGCATAGCATAGCATCACATTGTGCCACGTGGCTTCCATCTCCGTCCTCTCTAATTGCGCGCACACCAGTCACTCGCCACATGATGATTCCCAGAGCACAGCACACATATGTCCGAGCCGAGTAGAGCGAACCGCCCAAATGAACTTCACACACACCTGAAATAGCAACCCCACACTTCAGCCATCCCACACACCAGCCGCCCCACACACAGCAATCCCCACACACTGACACTACCAGCACACCAGCAGCAACCCCACCCACCTGTAGATATCAAAGCAGCGGTCAAAGTGGCCTGCTCTAGCCAGCACCTGCACCACCTGCCGCAGCCCCACCGCTGCCTTGTTTGCCGCTGCCTCACACAGCAGTACTAAACCCCACACACCAGGATTTCTAACACACCACCAGCAGCCCCAACAGCCCCACCCACCTGTAAATGTCAAAGCAGCGGTCGAAGTGGCCTGCTCTAGCCAGCACCTGCACCACCTGCCGCAGCCCCACCGCTGCCTTGTCCGCCCCCACCCATTTAGTGGGCCTCCTCATCAGCCTCCCCTCCCTCTCCCTCCCCTTCCCCCTCCCACTCCCCCCGCCGCCCCCACTCCCACTCCTGTGAAAACTGTTCCCTGTCCCACTGCCAGTCGCAGAAACCGAATCACCAGCCAACGACCCCGTCCCATCACCCCCACCAGCAGCACCACCACCAGCAGCACCACCAGCACCAGCACCAGCAGCACCAGAAGAACCATGCCGATCAGCATGGGCAGGCGAGGGGAAGGGGGCGGAGTGCCTCCCCCCATCCTCCCCACCTTCCCTCGCAGACCCCCCACCCCCCTTGTGCGCGTGCCCCTTGGTCTTCGCAGTGGAGGTGGGAAGCGGGCCGGACTTGGAGGAGAGGGTGGTGACGGCAGGGGCGGGGGAGGCGGAGGTGGAGGGAGAGGAGGCGGGGGGCGCGTGCGCGGGGACCTGGTGGGCGGAGGAGGAGGAGCGGGAGGAGTGGGCTGCTGCCGCCGCTGCCGCCTCGTGCAGCTCTGCTGTATCCAGGGGTTGGCTGTAGTGGGTACGGGGGGGAAGGGGGGAACGTTGTGAGTACTTTTGAGAATTCTGGGAGGTGAGTGGAGGCATGTGGGAGAACGAGGTGAGCAGAGGCAACGGTACCTACAGGCGAGGAGAGGAGAGCGGCCGTGAAGCCATCGAGCAGAGCAGCTGCTGCACCCCCCGCACACACACACACAGCCGCCGCTGCTGAGCAGACTCAGAAGCATGCACACGCGCAGGCAGGCACATGGATGGACACAGGCAGGCACACACACAGGAAGCGACACAGAGACAGGAGGCAGTGGTACCTGCAGGCGAGCAGGGCGGCCCTGAAGTCGTCCAGCAGCTGCTGCACGCCCCGCGCACACAGCCCCTCCAACGCCTCCACCGCCTCCCACCCCTCCCCCTCGCCCTCCTTCAGGTGACTTGTGAGTCAACTCACAAACCACCCACCCACCTCGCTCCAATGCCACACACCGTACCTGCAGGCGAGCAGCGCGGCCCTGAAGTCGTCCAGCAGCTGCTGCACCCCCCGCGCACACAGCCCCTCCAACGCCTCCACCGCCTCCCACACCTCCCCCTCGCCCTCGCCCTCGCCCGCTCCCCTGCCCGAGCCGCCTGTGCCGCCCGCGCACGACCCCAGAAGGTTCTGCGCAGCTTCCCGCTGCACGAGCAGCAGCTTCTCGAGCACCTCGAGGTACCGTGCCAGCGCCCACCGCGGCCCACAGTCGATCACTGGCTCCGCCTGCCAGGGGGGGGATGGAAAGGGGGGACAAGGGGGGACAAGGGGGAAGTAGACTTCTGAAGAAGACTCAGGCACCTCAAAGACGAGCAGCAGCTTCTCCAGCACCTCGAGGTACCGTGCGAGGAGGGCCCACCGCGGCCCACAGTCGATCACTGGCTCCGCCTGCCAGGGGGCGAAGGGGGAAGAGTGGGGGGGACGGGGCGTTTGCAAGGATCACCCTTTTGTGTCGACTCAAAAGGGGGACGAGTGGGGGGGATGGGGCGTTTGCAAGCATCACCCTCAACAAAGCTGCCCCCCCTCCTCTTCCCCTCTTCCCATAACTACCCTCCAGCCCTCCCCACTCCCCTCCTCTCCCCTCCTCTCCCCTCCTCTCCCCTCCACTCCCCTCCTCTCCCCTCCTCTCCCCTCCTCTCCCCTCCTCTCCCCTCCTCTCCCCTCCTCTCCCCTCCTCTCCCCTCCTCTCCCCTCCTCTCCCCCCCCTCCCCTCCCCTCACTCACCTCGGCCACAACACTCTTGACGGCCTGCAGGCTGTCCTCGCGCGTGCTGTTCCACCGACTCACCGTGCTCGGACTCACCTGCACGGGTTTGGGTGTGGGGAGAGGAGGGGGGAGAAGGGAGAGAGGTGGAGGGGCAGGGCACGCAGAGGGATGTTTTGAGACGTCTCAAAACTCTTCTTTTTTCACGTGGCACGCAGAGGGATGTGCAGTGAGAATGTGAGCACAGAGCTGTTACAGTCACAGCACACGCCAGCGCGCGGACCACCTGCATAGGGTGACTTTTGAGTCGACTCAAAGGTCAAGTCGACTCAAAGGTCAAGTCGACTCAAAAGCCATTTTGAGTCGACTCAAAGGTCAAGTCGACTCAAAAGCCATTTTGAGTCGACACAAAGGTCAAGTCGACTCAAAAGCCATTTTGAGTCGACTCAAAGGTCAAGTCGACTCAAAAGCCATTTTGAGTCGACTCAAAGGTCAAGTCGACTCAAAAGCCATTTTGAGTCGACTCAAAGGTCAAGTCGACTCAAAAGCCATTTTGAGTCGACTCAAAGGTCAAGTCGACTCAAAAGCCATTTTGAGTCGACTCAAAGGTCAAGTCGACTCAAAAGCCATTTTGAGTCGACTCAAAAGTCTTCCAGTCACGGCGCACGGCAGCGCGCGGACCACCTGCAGCATAGGGTGGACGGAAGCGATACGGCAGCAGGCAGGCAGGCAGGCAGGCAGGCGTGCCATGAAGGATGCTGGTGTGCTGTGCTGTGATCGGTGCTGGTGAGACTCGCGTCCAGAGGGTGGGATTGGGGGAGGAGAGATAGAGGGACAGGCAGAGCAGCGTGCCTGGAGATTGAGATGCAGAGATAAGAGCACTCAGTGATAAGAGCACTCAGTGATAAGAGCACCAGTGATAAGAGCACTCAGTGATAAGAGCAGTTAGTGATAGGAGCACCAATGATAAGAGCACTCAGTGATAAGAGCACTCAGCGATAAGAGCACCAGTGATAAGAGCAGTTAGTGATAGGAGCACCACTGATAAGAGCACTTAGTGATAAGAGCAGTTAGTGATAAGAGCACCAGTGATAAGAGCACTTAGTGATAAGAGCATTTAGTGATAAGAGCACTTAGTGATAAGAGCATTTAGTGATAAGCGCACTCACATTGGCCCCGGGGAAGCCATAGTCCAGCTCGGCCTGAGCCAGCTCCTCCAGCAACAGCTCCGTCGGATCCCTCTTCTCCCCCTCCCCCTCCTCCTCCTCCTCCCACCCCTCCGCTTCCAACCCTTCTCCTGACTCCCCCGTCTGAACCCCACCAATCCCCAGCCCCTCAACCTCACCCACTCCCACTCCGCCCACACTTCCCTTCAGCTCCTCACCCTTCCATTCCCTCTCATCACCCTCTTCCTCCTCGCCTTTTCTCACACCAAGCCCCTCGCCCCCGTCTCCGTCCTCCTCACCAGACAAGTACCCTTCGTTCCTCACAACACCCTCCCCTCTCACAGACCCACCAACGGACCCACCGCGGGGCATGGACACCTTGACTCTCCCCGGCTCATCCAGGGACGCATCTCGCCGCATGGACGGCTCAGATGGCACGCTCTCACTGTACGCGCGGGAGGAGGAGCCACGGCTGTAGCTGTGAGACAGGTCGCGGGATGAATCATGCGCCAACGCTCGGCCCACTGCCACCTCCTCTCCCTCCTCTCCCTCCTCGCCCTCCTCACTGTCTCCCTCTCTTGACTTAAAGCTCGTGTCTCGGCTGCTCCTGTCCGCCACTCGGCCGGACCTGCCCCTGCCATGTTTGCCCGCCTCGTCGCCTTCCCCCTCGTCAGAGTCACTACGGCTATAGTCACTGTCACTGTATTCAGACCCACCTTCATCCTTTCTCCCCCTGCTGCTGCTACCCCGCCCCCTCCCTGACCCCTTCCTAGGGCTACTACTCCTACGGTCTGCCCCCTTCCTGCTCCTCTCCCTGCCTCCCCCCTCCCTGTACCCCTCGCTGTCTGACGATCTATCCTCGCTGCTGTCGTACTCACTAGAAGTATAATCCTTATCCTCGTCATCATACTTGTCATCATCATCATACGTTTTCTTCTTGTGCCTGTAACTCCTCCGCTCCTCCCCATCATCATAATCATCATCATAATCCTCATCACTAACATACGACGAACCAGTGTCACTATCACTGTGCCTGTCCCTCCTCTCCTCCCCCCTCCTCCTCCTCTCTCCAACCCCATCCCCTGCATCCCTTCCACCTGCTCCTCTCGACCTCCCACCAACCTCCTCCTCTTCCTCCCCCTCACTCTCACTCGCCCCACTCCTCTCCCCGTCCTCCGATAAATCCCTAGAAAACCGACTCTTCGTCCTCTCTCCCTCCTTCTCTCCTCCTCTTCCCCTCCCCTTCCCTCCCACACTCCCCAGCCCAACCCTGCCCACCGCCATCCCACCCACACCCTCCTCCCCTTCCTCCTCGTCCTCGTCCTCCTCCTCGTGCGGCCCATAAGCCCTGCCGTGCTCCCTCTCATCTTCCCCTTCCGCCCCCCACTCATCGCTGACCACTGCCTGACAGGTGGACGCCCGAGGCCCCGTTGGCCCCTGTAGTGCCTCCTGCTCCCCCTGCCGCTTGCGCTGGAGGGGGGGAGAGAGAGGGGAGGGGAGGGGAGGGGAGGGGAGGGGAGGGGAGGGGAGGGGAGGGGAGGGGAGGGGAGGGGAGAGGGAGGGAGGGAGGGGGAGAAAGAGAGCGGCTTGTATTGGAGGCCCCAGTGGCCCCTGTAGCGCCTCCTGCTCCGCCTGCCGATTACGCTGGAAGTTTCACCGGGGTTTCGGGAATCAGGGGTCAAGGAGAGGGGGGGGGGGGGGAGGGGGGAGGAGGAAGGAAGAGAGGGAGAAGGGGAAAGGGGGTCTATTTCTAGGCGCCTCGGAAACAGTGCCTCCTGCTCCGCCTGCCGCTTGCGCTGGAGTTTTCACCGGGGTATGGGGATTCAGGGGTCAAGGAGAGGGAGGAACGGTGTGGGATGGGGTTGGTGGGGAAGTGGGGTAGGGGAAGAGGGAACATTTGGGGATGGGGAGGGAGAGAGAGAAGCTATTTTCGTGCGCAGGGTTTGACAAGCAAGGGGTTATGGAGAAAAAGGATGGTGGGGAGTGTGGGGGGAAGGGGGAGGGGGGGAAGGGGAGGGGAGGATATGGAGGGAGGCCAGGAGATTGAGGGATGGGGTGGGACAGAGGGGGTGGACGAATGGAAACGCAGGTTGGGGGTGACATGGCCGGGGGTGGTGGTAACATAACATGGAGCGGGGGAGAGGAAGGGACCGTTTGAGGAAAGGAGGAGCTATTGAAAAGTGAGAAAATAAGGTTCTGGACTGGATATGTAGGGTGCCTACCTTCCACTCAGTGACTCGGCGACGGATGGCTAGATTTGTCTTCATGTCCTTCACCTTGAGAGGCTGGACGGGAGAGTACGCGGTTGGGAGGAAGGAAGGTGGGAAGGGTGAAGAGACAAGGGTGAAGGGTCTGAACAGGAGAGCAGTAAGCTTGGAAGGAGCGGGTGAAGAGCGGAGAAAACCAGAGGGTGTGACAGAAGAGAAGTGTAGTAGGTGATATTAGATCGTGATAGGGGAAGGCGAAAGCGAAATCGAGAACGACGAAACAAAAATGAATAAAAGACCTCTAATTCAAACAAGTAGAACTGCCAGGGTTAAGAACGTTCTCATGACGAGCCAAGACTGTAACAAAACCGGAGCTGGCTGGCAACCCACTCACCTGGTTGGTAACCCACCCACCCACCTGGTCGGTAGCCCACCCACCCACCTGGTTGGTAGCCCACCCACCCACCTGGTTGGTAACCTGGTTAACAACCCACCTGGTTGGTAACCTGGTTAACAACCCACCTGGTTAACAACCCACCTGGTTGGTAACGGGGCAACGCAGTTCGCAGTGGTCCCAGAACGTCTTCACCTGGGCGCGCTCACAGCACACGGCCGTCTCAGGCAGCTCCACAGGATCCTCCATCACCCTCCCCGTCAACGGACAAATACACTCCACCGGCACGCCCTCCCCGCGCGCGCTCATGATCTCCTCCTCCCGCTGCCGCTGCAGCACCTCCATGCGCTTCTCCACCTGCGCGGCAAACTTGGGCCCCTGCTCCGCCGCCTTGTGGTACCAGTACAGCGCTGCTACGGGACACTCCGTCACTCCAAACCCCCGCTCAAAGCACAGCCCCAGTTTCACCAGGTACTTCCCGCTGCCGAAGCTTGCCGCCCGGAAGAACCACCGAAACGCCTCCTCTTCGTCTCTCTCCACGCCCGCGCCTGTCTCGTAGCACTCTGCTAGGGCGTACTGTGCGCGCGCCAACCCCTGTTCCGCCGCCTTTCTGAACCAGTACGCGGCGAGGGACTTATCCTGCTTCACGCCAAAGCCCCCGCCGTAGCACACGGCAACATCATACTGCGCAGCTGCCCTCCCCTCGCCCGCCTTCCGCAGATACTCAAGGAAAACGTCTCCCTCGCTGCTCAGACGGCCCTCCGGGGGGATGACAGGCACCCCTGTGGGGCTGAGAGGCGGCTCCCACCCCGCCTTCCCCGCCTGCGCTACAGCCGCCGCGTCTGCCACCGCGATTGCCGCGGCTGCTGCTTCGGCAGCCGCCACCGAGCCTAGCCGCGTCACACCTTTGAACCTAGGCTCGGAAGAGGCGTCGGTTCGCTTGCCAGGGAGAGTGAGGTTGGCCTCACGGGAATACCCGCCTTCCGCAGCAGCGTCCCCGCCTGTGCTACCTGCTGCGAATGTGTGCCTACCTACCCCCTCTAGCCTCCCTCCGCCCGCGCCAGGCGTGCTTGCCCCCCCCGCCTCCCGTCTGCGCGCGCTGGACGGGGAACGGGGGGACCCCGCGCCTGCCGGAAGCACAGCCGTCACCGTCGCCGTGAAACCCGCTGCCGCCGCGCCACTGCCTACGTCCGCGCCGCCGCCGCCGTCGCCTCCGCCGCCTCCGCCGCCGCCGCTGCTGGTGGAACCCACTCCGTGCGACGCGTCTATGGAGCCGCCTCTGGGTCGAATCCGAATCACCACCTGCTTCCCCGCTAGGGTTGTTCCCCCGCTTCTACCCACAGACCCGCCCGCCATAACTCCGCGGATGACCGTCACCCCCGTGCTGCTGCTGCTGCTGCTACTCCCCGCTCCGCCAAACCCTCCGCCGAACCCCCCGCCGCCGCCGCTCATGGTGCTGCTGGTGCTGCTCGCCGTGCTCGGACGATTCGACGGCTCAGATCCCCCGCCAACGGCCCCTAATCCTCCGCCACCCGCGGGCAGAACCCCGGGGGAGCCTATCGACGTGGGGGAGGTGCTTGCGCCGTCGTCCGACGAGCCCGCTTGCCGCTCTCTCAGCGCCGCCGCGCCTCTCAGTATCCCCGCGCGCAAGCTCCGTTCCCGGCCTTCCTCCTCCTCCCCCTCCTCGTCTTCCCCGTACACGCACTCCTCGTTCCCCCTCCCCGGCGCGCCGTAACCCCCGCGCATGCCGAACGCGGCAGCTGCGAGCGGGCTAAGGGCTCTAGGGCTCCTGACCTGTCGCGGACTGAGAGGCTTTTTCAGCGCGATATCGCCGCCGTGAGGACTAAGCTGCGGGTGATGGTACGGCGGCTGCGGCGGCTGATAAGGGACCTGATAAGGCACCTGATAAGGCACCTGATAAGGACCCTGATAAGGAGCCTGATGAGATGCCTGATAAGGGTTTGCGGGATAACCGGACGAAGGACCAGTCTGTCGACCCTCCGCGGGTCGGTCAACTATTGGTCGACCTGACGTCGCATCGTCTCCGGTGTACCTATCGTCGTCGCTCACACTGCGGCCACGTGGCACGCCCGCTGCTGCCGAAAGCGGTCGCGGATTGGAGAAATCCGGGGGAGCGTCCGTGCTGTACGAGCGAACCGCGGCGATACCGGGAGATGCGGATAACGGCCTTCGTTCGTACGACTGCCGTTGATCGAACGACGCACGGTGATCGTACGGCGGTCGGTGATCGTACGACGGCCGCTGCTCGTACGACGGCCGCTGCTCGTACGACGCACTGGCTGTCGCACGCGGTCGAGTGCTCAGGCCCGACCGAGGCGGCGGCTGCTGCTGGTGGTGCTGCCGCTGGCCGTACGGCACCGGCGCTGGCGGTATTCGCAACGGCGGCTCCTGCCATTGCTGCTGACCCTGCTGCTGCTGCCGCTGCTGCTGTTGCTGCTGTTGTTGCTCCCAGTATACCAGCTGTTGCGACTGAGCCTGGTGCGTCTGAGCCTGCTCCGCATGGCCCTGCTGATCCTCGTACGACGGAAGCCGCGCGTGCAGCCCGCGAGGCGGCGACAGCTCTGCGCCTAAACGACCGTTGGCTAGCGGCCTACCGTCTTGTGAGGCCCATCGCGAACCTCTATATGGACCACTCATGGCTCAACGCGTGTCGTGCATCGGTGTGGCTGTCAAATATAGCCTAAACTCATCAGGTATAAATTAACTAGCAATAACCGTAAAGCGGAAAGAATGCAGCAGCCTTAATAATTAATTCGCTAATGTCCGTACAAGTCTGGCACAGCTCACTGGAAAGCCATGATGACTACCCCTGCATGATTGGTGTTGCTGATGCCACTTTCTCAACCAATAATATTGAAACTGTTTGTGTGGTGGTGGGACCTTTTTCCCACCCAGAGCATCTGTATGTATGGGACGAGACGAGAAGGATGCCCTAGGGGGATGGCCACAGCACCGCAGTATGAGCTACAAGAAAATACCATACCACACCAAACCATACCAAAACCTTCCCAACCTAGTCAAACGAAACGAGTGGTTGGATTGCCTAGGAATTGCCGTTCCTGACGGTGAAACCAACTTTTGTTCCCCCTTGACGGAGCGCTGCCTGTCTGAACAAATGGCGTCAAGAATGACGTGGCTTTTCGGAACAGAAGAATCGCTTTGACGGAAGCACCGGCTTGGAGGTCCCAGAGAGAAGTTCCGTGGAATTTTGGCAACACACAGTTGGAGGCGCGATACAGAGAACTCGTTTCAATTATCCTCCATATAGCATGCTGCACCTCATGGTGCATACCCATTCCAGAACCAGCTCATCTTCATTGAATGCTGAGCGAAATTTAATCAGGAAAAAAAAAACTATTAATGGAGGGTTTACGTTTAATGTGTGGTTGAATATTTTCATGTGCTGCAGAATCAGTACGAGACTGCACGGCATGTTTGCGAGGGAAGTCTCGCAGAGGGCAGGCGTGAGAATGGGGCCGGCTGTACAGGGACCATATCGACTAAAAGCTTGTTTTTGTCTTGCCTCAATCATTAGTACGCCTAATGTACACCATTGCCAGAATTTAAGCAACCATTAATTTAACTGCAGGCTACGAGAAAACTCAAACTCTGTACGTTGCTAAAAGGCTAGGAGGGTGAGGAAAGAATATCTCTTGCGCGAAGTCATAGAAAGAGCATGAGTACCGTATTCTCCCCTTTCATGCTTTTTCTTTCCATTACTCAGCCTGCAAAGGTAGCTGGCCGCCATTGAAAGCATTGAACCTGCAGTCAGTAGCAGTCACACCCGACGTCTCATAATCCCCCACCTCCCCATCCAGAAACCCCTTCCCCTCCTCCCCATCCACCGACACAGGGTGGTGCAGCAGAGCCGCAAGCCTCGAATATTCCATCGTCCTCTGCTCCCTGCCGCTGCGGTACGTCTGCCCCATCACCCCGTGCACCTGGCTGCTCGGATTCGAGTCCACAAACATCAGGTTGATGTGCACCTGCGCGTCCTCAGGTGTTTGCAACAGAGGGTGCGCCGCGCGCAGCTTCAGCTCGAGCTCCAGGAGATTTTTCAGGCGGAGGGTGTACACGTCCACGTCGAACGGGCCGGTCTTCTCTTGGCCAACAAAGGACAGAATCAGCCGCCCATTGGAGAGCACGTGGCTGCTGCCAAGGGTCAGGCGTGGGAGAGGCTTGTCGTCAAGAGTGGCGGATGCAAGGAAGCCTTGTGCGCCGCGGGTCTGCTCCTTGCCATCCCGTGCCGTGAGCACGAGAGAGTGAGACGACGCAGCATCGCTTGCACTAGCGCCGCTTCCGCTGCCACTGCTGATGCTGCTGTTGCTGTTGCTGCTGTCGCCGTCGTGCCACATGATCGCGAGCTGTCGGATCCACGTGCGAACAGCCGAGCCGTTGACAAAACGAGCTGCAGCCAGCGTGCTACGGTTACCAGCAGTGGGGGCAAGCGCAAGAGGGCGCTTGTCGAGATAGCCGCGCATGGCCATGTTGACGTGCACGTGGCGGTCGGTGTAGAGGCAGAAGGAGCGCCTTGGCAGCCCGTTGAAGTCAAACCGCGTGCCGTGCGCGCCCAGGAAGTGCGGGTCGTTCTCGCCGTACGCACACCGCCGCCCCACGCGCACCGTGTCGCCGCCCGTGTTGGTGCCGCACCGCCCCTTGCGGGCCCTCTCGGGCGTGAGCGCGTCGACGGCCGGCAGGAGGACGCACTTGCCGCGCTGTTCGCTGCTGCCACGGTCGTGAGAGCTGGGAGATCTGGGGGAAGTGAAGGGGAACCAGAGAGCATGAGAGAGATGAGGATGGAGGGAGGGGAAGACCAGTATACAGCGGTTCAGGAAATGCAACCCGGTTCAGAAAATGTGCAGCAAGCGAGGCAAGGTGGCGGTTGGAATGGGGGAGGCACTCACGGGATGTGCACCCAGTGGCGGCAGTTGAACGGAGTGCCATCGACCGTGGCGTTGACGCTGCTGCATCGGCTGCAGCACTCTTTAACGCCCACCGCCGCACCCGCACACCACGCCTCGTCCGCCTTCCTCGGCGCACCACCGCTGCTGGTGCTGGCGGTGCCGATGGAGCAGCGGCCATAATCGGGCAGCTTCCAGTACCCCACCTCGCCTGAATCGTTGCTGCACCCGCCCCGCCCGCACAGCCCGCCGCCATGGCTGCTGCTGCCACCGTCATGCTCGTTATCTTCGTCGCTACCATCCTCATTGTCACCGTCGCCCTCAGCAGCCGAGTCGTCCTCGTCCTTGTCATGCTCCCGGCCGCCATGCCCGCCGTGGCCTCTGTCGTCGTCCTCCCTCTCCTCGTCACTCCCGCCGCCGGGAATCCCGCCGTGCCGGGAATCGCCGTGCGAATCGCCGTGCGAAACGACGTGGGAATCGCCGCTGCCGCCGCGCCCGGCAGCTGTTGCCGTCCCGCCGGTCACGCTCCCGTCGCCGCCGCGCAGAGCGATCCCGCCTGAGCGGGAGGGCTTAGTCGCAGCAGTGGCGCCGGCGGCTGCTGCTAATAACGCGGATAGCGCGAGGAGGAGGAGAAACGCTCGAGACATGACGGCGTCGAGGAAGGCCCCTAAGGGAACAACGCGAAAGAACGGTGATATCCCTATCAGAAATATGATTTAAGGAGGCCACAACACGGCGATCGATACGAATGGTGCTCCTGGCAGCAATGAACGGTCAGATGATGGACTTAGACGAGGGAATCCCTCAAGTGATGAAGCTTAGGCCAGGTAAGCGTAGGGTGGTCGATTTCTAGACGAATGAAGCATGCTTATGCTGCGCTCTATCGGAAGACTTTATAGTCGCGAATCTCGACGCCAGGACGATTCGCGATCGGCAAGGCTGCCTCAGCCCACGATCGCGCCAGGGCATGGCGCCTCACGATCGCGATTCGCGACGCAAGGCTGCCTCAGCCCACTTCCCAGGGCGTGAGCATGGCGCCACGGTTAACAAGAGCGTCGCGGAAGAAAAGTATTATTTCCGCGCCGCATCGTGGGAATACGTCGCAGATGTGGTAATCGTGGACCATCTACCACTGCGCGTTTGTGGCTCCTGAAGAATCAAGGATTTTCGGAATCTGACGACGAGAATGCTGGTCTCCTGACTCTGCTTGAATTCTTCTTTCCACATTCTGGGTTCAGCTAGTTTGTGTGCGGAAGAAAGGAAAGAACAGGGGTTTTTAGTTACGGCAGAAGAGGTACTTCCGAGCCTGCGCTTTCTAGGGACCTTCGTCTCTACCTGCACACAGTTTCCCAGGTTTCGCTGCCGAGACAGAAGGCTTATCGCGCTAACATAGAACTCCTCTCCACATTAACCCACGTGTCATCATCTCGGAATACATTTCTATTGCTACTCAGGCAAACGGTGCACAGCACTATTTTGTTCTTTTTTTTCGCACTGGACTAAATCCCTCTCCGCTGGCATGGTAATGAAGAGCATCAACCCTAAACACCTTGCGACTAAGTGTTTAGGGTTGATGCCAAAACTAAATCCCTCTTGGCTTGCATGTTAAATTTGGGGCATCAACCCTAAACACCTTGCGACTAGGTGTTTAGGGTTGATGCCCCAAAATTATAGCCCACTTGGCGGGAACAACCCCAAACGCCTTGTCGCGTGGTGTTTAGGGTTGATGCCCTTGAAAACTTGCCATCCGAGAGGGGTTTAGTTTTGTGCTTGCTGGCAGAATACTGTCGACGAAAACAGTGCTTGCGTGACGTGCGGAGAAGCCGAGTTCTGTGTTAGCACGAAAACTCTTCCGTCTCAGAAGCGGATCTGCGGAAAGTGTGCGCAAGTTGAGATGAAAGTCCCTCAAAAGAAAGACAGCTACAGTAAGCCTTCCGCAAAAACTAAAAACCCAAAGAACAGAGAGGCGACGACCAGGAGGCGAACATTTTCAAACTCACCTGAATTTCGCAAACACGCTTCGCAAAAGAGGGACTTCCATTCAAAACAAGATTCGACGTGAACGTCGGAAGGGTTGCGTAGTTACGTACGCTTTTAGTTTTCATATTTTGACGAGATACATGTAATACGTAGTATTTATTCCAATGGATACACCCAATTACTTCCTACTTATCAATACAAAATTACTGTTTGCTAGTATTATGGGATCAAGTTCTGTTAATTTTCTTGTTAGTTTTTTCCGAATTAGCAATATGTAACGATTCAGAAACAATGTATATTATTCCAGCACTGATGCTTGTAAGTAACTTATCATGTATTGCTGAATCAGGTTCTTACAATGAGCTGTTTTGAAGTTGACTCAAATGCTTGGATGGATATGTGACGTCATTACACCCTATTCTCGATAATTTCACACCCCTTAAGCGCACACCCTGGGGTAAATACTCTCGGTTAAACGTTTAAGTAGGGTAGCAAGCAACGATTGTAGACTATCGGAGGAGGGGGGTCTCGCAACCTTTGTCAGAACATTATATAGCTTATGCTGTTGTGTAGGCTATAGTGGGGTATCCCATAGGGGGTACAACCCAATTAGGGTTTCCTATATGTACTCACTTCATTCATAGTTCATTCATTCGCGTTCTCCTTTCCACATGGAATCAGAGCAGGTCCCCTCCTAGGGACTGTTTCTAGGGCCCACCGAAGCGCGCCCCGAGGCGCGCTTTCCTTTTTTTTAGCGACCCTCCGTGTCGCCCCTAGCGGCCCGTTGCGCCGCCCTTACCTACGCGAGCCCGCCGCCCTTACGTCGCGGCCCAGCCGCCCTCACGTCGCGGCCCCGCCGCCCTCACCTACGCGGCCCCGCCGCCCTTAAGTCGCGGCCCCGCCGCCCTCACGTCGCGGCCCCGCCGCCCTCACCTACGCGGCCCCGCCGCCCATAAGTCGCGGCCCCGCCGCCCTCACGTCGCGGCCCCGCCGCCCTCACGTCGCGGCCCCACCGCCCTTGCCTACGCGGCCCCGCCGCCCTCACCTACGCGGCCCCGCCGCCCTCACGTCGCGGCCCCGCCGCCCTCACGTCGCGGCCTCGCCGCCCTTGCCTACGCGGCCCTGCCGCCCTCACCTTCGCGGCCCCGCCGCCCTCACGTCGCGGCCCCGCCGCCCTCACTTTGCGGCCCCGCCGCCCTCACCTACGCGGCCCCGCCGCCCCACTTCGCGGCCCCGCCGCCTACGGTACCGGCCCCGCCGCCTATCCTCACCGGCCCCGCCGCCTACGACCGCCGAGCCGCCCTGCCGCCGAGCCGCCCAGCAGCCGAGCCGCCCGGGAGCCGAGCCGCCCTGCCGCCGAGCCGCCCTGCCGCCGAGCCGCCCGGGAGCCGAGCCGCCGAGCCGCCCTGCCGCCGAGCCGCCCTGCCGCCGAGCCGCCCGGGAGCCGAGCCGCCCAGCAGCCGAGCCGCCGAGCCGCCCAGCCGCCGGGCCGCCCTACTGCCGAGCCGCCCGACCTGCCCTGCCTGGTGAGCACAGCACCACTGTTACTGCGTGCCCTTCCCCTACTGCTTGCACTACTACACTGTTGTCGTCATGGCTACCCCTAGTGTCCTCGCTTTTGACGCTGAGGGTCGAGCCATTGACTTTGAGGTCTGGGTCGACGACCTGCAGCTGTTCTTACAGTGCGATAGGGCGGACGGTCTTTCCCTCTTTGACCTCACCTCTGGCGCCTCTCCTGCCCCTGCTGCTGATGCTGACCCCACTGTTCGCTCTCAGTGGGCCACCCGCGATGCTGCTGCACGTCTTGCTGTGCGTCGCCACCTGCCTACCACTGAGCGCGCGCACTTTAGTCAGTACAAGAGTGCTCAGACCTTGTACGACGCTGTAGTTGCGCGCTACTCTTCCCCTGCCACTGCTGCCCTGAGCCGCCTCATGCTACCGTACCTCTTTCCTGACCTTGCTGCCTTTCCCACTGTCGCTGACCTCATTACGCACCTCCGCACTAGTGACACTCGCTACCGCGCCGCCCTTCCTGCTGAGTTCTGCGCCAAGAACCCCCCCCCCATGTACATCACTCTCTATTACATAGTCACACGCCTCCCTGACTCCCTTCGCGTAGTCAGGGACCACTTCCTCTCAGTCTGTCCCACCACTCTCACTGTCGACCTCCTCGAGAAGTCCCTCCTGGCGGCGGAGAAGAGCATCGTCGCTGTAGGAGCCTCTCGTGGTGACCCTCGCACCCCCATCTTTGAGGGGTGTTCTCCTTCCCCCCTGCTGCCCTCTGTTGCCTCTGCTGCTGCTGCCGACCTGCTTGGTCTTGAGTCGGTCTGCGCGGCGTCTGCCCCTAGCGGGAGACGCCGCCCTGGCAGGGGCAAGGGGGGCAAGGGCGCGGGTGGAACTGGCGGGGGCGGTGGAGGTGGCGGTGGAGGCGGCGGAGGGAGTGGGGGTGGCGGTGGGAGTGGTGGCGGGGGCGGTGGTGGCGGTGGCAGCAGCGGAGGAGGAGGCGGTGGTGGCGGCAGCGGTGGGAGCGAAGGCAGCGGTGGTGGTGGAGGTGGAGGCGGCGGTGGCGGAGGGGGTGGAGCTGGTCGGGGTGGTGCCCCGCAGCGTAGCGGCTCTGGTGGTGGCCAGCGTCAGCAGCAGCAGCAGCAGCAGCGTTCGCGGGACATCCCCCCGCCCCAGCAGCTCCGTGAGTGGTACACGCAGCGTCAGCGGGGTGGGGGTTTTGGTCCGTGCACCTACGTCCTTCGTTCCGGCGACCGCGCGGGTGAGCAGTGTGGGGGTGCCCACCCCACCCAGCGCTGCTTTGGCCGCCTGACGGACGCTTGGCGTCAGCAGTTCCCCGAGGCTAGTGAGATTCCCCGTTGGGGAGAGCTGTCTAGGGCTGGCGTAGCTATCTTTGATCTAAACTTTGATGCTATCCTTGCTGCCATGTATGCTGTGACTATTAGTGAGGAAGGTGACTGTTACCGGTGTTTCCTGCCCGACCCGGGCATTGGTACTGCTGCGCTAGGTACTTCTGCGGCTGCTGCTCTAGGTGCCAGTGCGTCTGCACTCTCAGGTACTGGTGAGGCTGCGCTCTCAGGTACTGCGTCGGCTTCGGCCTCCCTCACCTTCACGCTTGACTCAGGGGCTTCTCGCTCCTTCTTTCGAGACCGCACCACACTCACGCCGCTTGGCCGGCCGGTTGCAGTCTCCCTGGCTGACCCCTCTGGGGGTCCTGTCCTCTCTCACTTCTCCACTGTCCTCCCGTGTCCGGCTGCCCCCTCGGGCACCTTGTCTGGTCTGTACCTCCCCTCGTTCTCGACGAACTTGGTGAGTGGTGCTGACCTGCAGGATGCGGGGGTTCACCAGTTTACTCCTGCGAGTCAGCGGGTGACCCACTGCTCGGACGCCCGCACAGGCCGACACCTGGCCACGTTTTCGCGTCGGCCGGGGTCGAGTCTCTACACCCTGACACTGAGTCTCCTCCTGTCCCTGCGTCTGGCCAGGTAGCTGCGTCGGGTCAGGTGTTTGCTGCTGCGTCCAGGTCTGGTCCTGAGTCTGCCCCCTGCTCGTGTCGCCGCCTGTCTCAGGAGACTCTCCTGTGGCACCACCGTCTTGGCCACCCCTCCTTGCCTCGTCTTCGGGGCATGGCTTCCCGTGTCCTTGTCTCTGGTCTTCCCCGGTC